ATGGGGATGTCACTATGGGCCTACAGCAAAGTCACCCGTCCAGTTTCCCATTTAAGTGAACAACCCCGAAAGCAAACTCTTCCGAGTGAGTGACAGTGTCCCCCAAGAGTCAAAGACAATTATTAATTAGAAAATTACATTAAATTCCCATCTAAAAAAATACAAAAATATTAAATTATTAAATTAATATAAAATCTCAAGAGATTTTAATTGTTTGATTACTAAATTAACATTATCTTTTTTCCTCCAAATTATCAAGTTTTTTTAAAAGTATGTGTGAGCAGTTGTAAACAACTCATGGCATAACAATTAACAGTTATCTTAGCAAATATTAACAACACATTTTCTTAACACTTAGCAGTATGTGTTGACGATTAAAAAAATATTCGTTAACAATTTAATATATAACAGTTAATAATCATCGCGATAAGTATTAACAACATATTTTTTCAGCTCATAAATCCTTACTTAAAAAAATAGACGAGGACAGTTTAGTAATTGAACAAGTGAAATCTCTTACAATAATATCCCTTAGATCTTGAAACTGTAGATTAATTTGATAATTTCAAGGGACTTTTTGTATTTATTTCTCTTAGGTGAAACCTTAATGCAATTTTTCAATTATCATTCCAATATAATTTAAGATGTATTGAGATGCTATGTGTAACCTCAACTATAATTTTAGGGATTAACATTCTAAAATGCAATTACAATTAATCATAAAGGTTCACAATAAAAATAAGATAGCTAGTTAATTGACAATCTCTTCATTTAATTTTCAAATCTTTTTTAGTACTATTTAAACATTTTAGGATCTTCAATCATTCTTCTTTTTTTTTTAATCTAATTTATTATAATTGTATGCTTAAATATTCCATCATTTAAATTTGATTATTGAATTTCTCATTTTCTCTATTTCACTACTTGTTTGGCTACCCCCTTGGCCCCCTCTTTCTCTCTTGCTTTCTCTGCCTCTTTTCTAGGGCATTGTTTGGTTGGAAGGTTTTTGGAGAGAGGGTAGGGGATGGGAAGGGAGGAAAAATTGTATTTGGTTTAGAAAAATGAAAGGGAGGAGAGGAAATTTTTTTTTTCATTTAGTGCTCCCCTCCCCTTCAAAATTGGGGTTTTTTTAGATAGGAGAGAAATATTATACCTTATATTGAATAAATTACTCATGTTAATTTTTTAACATTTCAAGTTTATCCTTTTCAGTAAAAATTTTTTTTAACTCTTTGCTTTTTTTTTTTACTCTTTTTCTTTTCAACCCCTATTATTCTTCTACGGATTTTTTTTTTAACTCATCAAAGGTTTTTTTTTCCTGCATATTTTCTTTCTCTAATTTCATCATTTCTCATGTTCTCTGCCATTAATTTTTCATATCTTTTCTTCTTGTCTGATTTTTCACCTCAATTTTATTTTTTTACACAAAACTCTGTATATTATCTAATTAATAATGTGAGCTTACGTACGTTATGTAATTATTGATAGAATAATTCAAAACTTGTAGCATAAATTTATTTATAATTTATATAATATGCTAAAGATTATAATTTTTTTATTGACATTTATTTTGATATATGATTATTTATAATCTATTTGTTTTTTTTTTATTAAAGGCAAACAGAACAAAAGGACGAAAGAAAGAAAAAAGAAAACAAAAAAAACAAAAAGACAAAAAAAAACAAAAAGACAAAACCAGCACAACATCTCCTATCCCACGCCCGTCGCGAGTTGAGCAGCTTCATTACGTAGCGTAGCCTTTAGAAAATCTGGTGTCAACAGCAAGGGAGTCACTCCCAACGGAGAGCTCAATGCTTTCTTGGCCAGGCGATCTGCCACGTTGTTCGTGTCCCGCCTACAGGTATTAATGGAGACTTCCCACTCTCTTTCCAGTAGCTGTTGCACTTCATATAAGATCTCCAAGTTTTCGTTGCTGATGGTATCGCCCTGTTTAACCCATTGTACCACCTCCTCACAGTCACTTTCCAGCTCAATGACTCTGAACCCAGTATCCCAAGTGATTTTCAATCCCCAGTAAATAGCCCACAACTCAGCATTCACGCTGCTCCCTCTTCCCAAGTTCACCATAAAGCCGCTTACCCAACTGCCTTGGAAATCTCGAACCACACCTCCACATGCTGCCATCCCTTTATCACTGCTCCATGCACCATCCACGTTGACCTTTAACGACCCCATCCTTGGTGCTTGCCATGAGTCCATGCTGCTTTGGATTCCCTGTAGAATACTCATTCGTGTATCCGCCCATCTCGTACAAGCCATCATACGAGCTTTAAAGACCAGTGGCTCCTCCGTCCTCGATTCAAACACCGTCACATTTCTACTTAGCCACAAGTTTCTGCATGCTATAGTGAACAGCCACCTCCATTCACATTCGCCAACCCTGTCCTTTCTTCTTAGATTCCACTCAACCCATCGTGGAACGTCCCTAATATGGTAAAAGCTACTCGAGAGATCCGCGGGCAGAATCAATTGCCACCGTTGCTGAGCATGCTCACACAGACATAACACGTGATGGACCGTCTCCCTCTCTTTCTTGCAGATTGGGCATAGATCAGACGCCACCATTCCACAATCGTTACGGTAAGCATTAGTCAACAACCTGCCTCTAACCACGAGCCACAAGAATGATCGGTATCGCTGAGGCACTTTCATCTTCCAAACTTGTCTCCAGAGGCCCCTCAAGCTCTTATTGCCATGGGGTACCGAGTTCTCATAGGCCGTCTTAACCGTAAAACCCCCATGACTGGACCAACGCCAGATAGGTATGTCAGATGTCGATACCTGATTAGTCAACACTCTCCTTATCGCCCCCAACACCTGAGGTGGCAGCAGCTCTTGTATCTCAGACCATCTCCAATCCCCCGACGGGGATATGAAACTCGTAATCTTCAAGTCTAACATTTCCTCTGGGATTCTGTCCACTGCATACGTTTGGAGCTTCTCGTAGTTAGGTAACCAGCAGTCAGTCCAGAACTTGACTGAGTTTCCGTTGCCAATCTTCCAGCCTAGCCCACGCAAGACATTAGTCCAGTTCTTTTTAATTCCCCGCCAGGCCTGAGATCCGTTTTTTCTTTCGTTAATCACCGGTATGGTATCGTTCCCACATTTGTATTTCTCGCACATGAAACGTACCCATAACGAGTCACGTTTCTGTATCAAGCTCCATCCTAACTTCATTATGTAGGCGTTGTTCTGTTCTCGTGCCATCCTGAACCCAAGGCCTCCCTCATCTCTTCTCTTGCAAATATCTTCCCATGACACTAGATGAGGTTTTCGGGTTTGACTATGGTGTCCCCACAAGAAAGACCGACACTTCTTGTCGATTTCCTGACAAACAGAAGGGGGAAGGGGATTTGTTTGCATGATATAAGAAGGGATTGAGGAGGCCACCGAGGAGATAAGAGTACTTCGCCCTGCAAGGGAGAGAGACGAGGCCTTCCAACTGGTGAGCCTTTGGTCCATGCGATCTAATATGTACTGATAAGTGCGCTTCGTCACCCGTTTATGGTGCAAAGGTACCCCCAAATACACCTTCCTAGATCTGATGTAAGGGTAAAACCCAAGAATTCACTTATTTCACGCTTTCTTACGTGGTTAACATTATCTGAAAAGAAGATGCGTGATTTTGAGGCGTTTACCATCTCCCCCGACACATCACAAAAGTCGTCCAGACACGCCTTGATAGTCCCCGCCTGTTCCATATTAGCCTCGGCGAACAGTACCAGATCGTCAGCAAAGAATAAATGAGAGATACCCGTACCCCTCTTGCTCAACTTGAACGGCCGCCAGTTCCCATTAACCACTTCCGCCTGAATGAGGTGGGCCAGTCTCTCGACTGCAATGACAAATAAATACGGAGATAGCGGGTCTCCTTGTCTCAAACCATGTGATGGTTTGAATTTAGTGGTCAATTCACCATTCCACCTGAGTTGCATGGTGGGTGATGAAATACACTCATGTATCACGCTGATCATCCAAGTGGGGAGACATAATTCTTGCAAGCATTGCATAATGAAATTCCAATTAAGGCGATCATAGGCCTTTTCAAGGTCAATCTTCAAAGCCATGAAACCTTTCTTCTTCCTTCTGCTACGCATTGAGTGAATAATCTCTTGTGATAGGATAATATTATCAGTACTCTGGCGTCCCTTCACGAAGCTGCTTTGGTTTGGGGATATAATCTCTGGCATAATTGCCTTCAATCTATTCGCCAAAGTCTTCGTAACAACCTTATAGACCACATTACACAAGCTAATAGGACAGAACTCCCTAAAGGTCTTAGGTGCTTCGACTTTAGGTATGACGACGATCGCAGTATCATTAATGCTTCTTACCTGTTCAGGTTGAGTCATCACTAGTTGTACCATACGAACCATAGAGTTTTTAATTGTACTCCATTGACTTTGGAAGAACAAAGGATTCAACCCATCAGGCCCTGGAGATTTAAGTGGCCCCATATCAAACAAGGCATGCTTTATTTCCAGCTCTGTGACGTCAGCTTCCAATCTCCGCAGTGAAGTCTCACCTATGTTAGGGTAGGTGAACTCGAACCTCAAGGAGTGAGAAGGGCTCCCTTCCTGCTGATACAACTTCTTAAAGTACTCGATCCCCACGTTCATAATCTTTTCTACATCATAGCACCACTCTCCGTTTTCAAGCCGAATTGCCTCCACTCTATTTATCTTCCTTCTACTGTTAGCCATAGAGTGGAAATAACGTGTATTACGGTTGCCAAATGAGTACCAATTACACCTAGATTTCTGCAACCACATAAGTTCCTCCTGTATAAGCAGCGTCTCTAGTTGTTTCCACTTCTCCTCACGTTCAGCAAGCAACCTACTGTTAAAAGGGTCACGGGCAATGTCCAGCTCCAACCTTCCCATCATACGGGTAAGCTTCTCCTTTTGGTAGCCAATATGCCCGAATACTTTCTTCCCCCACTGTTTCACCTTAGTGGTAAATTCCGCTACTACCTCATTCTAACTCAAACTGGTGTTCCAAGCTCCTTTCACGAATTTTGAAAACTCCTCGTGGGTGACCCAAGGGGCAAAGAATCTAAATATATTTGATCTACTTCTTCTGTCGTTTACCTTCTCCAAAGTTCGTAACAGCAGTGGCGTATGGTCCGATTTGAACTTCGGTAAATGCATGACACTTGAGTTCGGGAACTTCCGCCTCCATTCTTCGTTCATTAATGCCATATCAATTCTGCTAAAACATCCGTTATTACTCCATGTGAACCGTGGGCCATAGAACTCCATCTCCGCTAAATCCAAGTCATCCACTAACCTTTGGAATTGTAGATCTACTCCCATGGTGTTTATGTTTTTCGAGACCTGATCCCCGACATGTAACGTTGCATTAAAGTCCCCGATAATGCACCACGGCTTAGTGATATGAGTGGAGAAAGACCGAAGATCACTCCAAAGCCTATCCCGTATACATCTGTTCGGTTTCCCATACACAATCGTTAGGCATACTTCATTCGACGACCCAGCGTTAAAGATTCCATGCAACGCCTGCTCTGTCCTAGCCAGTACTTGAAAGTTAATAGTAGCGTCCCAGAAACACCAAATACCGCCATTGTATCCCTGGGCCTCAACCACTTCGCAATGTTCCATCTTCAAGCGTCTTGCCAATGTCCTTGCTTTAGAGCCCTGTTGTCTTGGTTCCAAAAGTGCCATAAACGCAACCCCATACTGCTTCTTGAAATTTTGTAGTAGCCGAGGGAGAACTTGACCCCCAGCCCCTCTTACGTTCCACACAACACAATCCATAAAATCGCTCATCATGGGACTTATAAGCCAAACTCTAAACCTCAACAATCCATGGCCTCAATCGAGACCTCATGGTTAATGCCCAGAGCATCATTTTCATCCGTCGTAGATAACGGGTTCTGCCTGATCATGAAACTTCTTCCTATTTCCCTCCCCTGATCTCCTGGGTCATCAGGAATTGACGCCCCCAGTGCCACCATAATGGCGTTATGGGTAGGCGTACTAGGCTGTACTGGAGATCCTTCAACGAGGTCTCCCATCGTGCCGTCCTCTCCATTTATGTCCCCATGTTCTAGCCCACTGCCCAATCTCTGCCCTCCTTGCAAGTTCTCATTTAGGCCCAAATTTTCTTTGACCGATAAGTAGTGATCCATTCCTCCTGGTTGAGGATCCGCCCTTCTAGTGATGTTCGTTTTTGGGCCCAACCTTACTTCCACTGCTTTACTCCTTAACCTACTACCCTTTGTTACATTGCGTCCTCCATTTGTGACTGTGTTGGTAATTTCCCCAAGTGATGATCGTGCATTCTCTGTGACCGGTTCAGTATCATTGCCCATCATAGAATCTTGGTTTAATATTGCAAATCGGGATCCCAAATTCTTCTCCTCGATATTCCTCCTAGTATCTCGCCTGCCATTATTTCCCCCAAAATCTCGGTTATTCCCCTTTCTTCCTCTGAACCGTTGCACGGTCATCCAATCACCGTATGGGTGGCCGTCTGTTGCCGGTTGCGATCTGGCCGGCCCTCCACCTTCTTTCTCACTTCCTCCCACCCCGTTCTCGCTCGTCACGTCATGCCTGTCTCCATCGTGCGAGGTCTTCCCATCGACTGACGTCGATTGAGCTAGGTGGCGACGCTGGCAATGGTTTTTGTCATGGCCATACCTCCCACAGGCAAAGCAGATAAGGTGGATTCCCTCGTACTCCACCTTCTTTTCCTTTCTGTTCACAAGGATAACAGGCAAAAGTGGTTTCTTTAAGTCCAGTTCGACACATAGCCTTGCAAACCACCCTTTTGATTGCTTAGCAGTGGTTTTGTCAACTTTAATCACCTTCCCTATCTGACAACCCAGGACATGTAGTAGACCCTCATCATAGTAGTCTACGGGCAGGCGGGAAATACGAACCCATGCAAGGATCCTCTCAATAACCTCGCTCTCGGAGTCGAAATCCTCCTTCCACAGTAACACAGCAAGGTAATGGTCGAAAATTAGCCAAGGTCCTCCCGTTAACACATAATCATAATCGTTCTTACGTTTGAAGCGAACCGTATAGAATCCCGAACCCACATCGATTACATCGATATTCTCCTCACACACCCCCCAAATCTTCTGCAATCTCTCAACTAAATAGTCTTCCTTGATCATTCGGCCAAGCAACTTCACAATAACAGATCTCCTCCACTTCTTTCTCAAACGGTCCTTGGCTTCTGGTAGAATAATAACGTTCGGGCCTCGCTCCGTCTCCTCCACCCGTATCATTGATTCCCACTTCTTCCCATCCCACCATTCTTCTTCCTCACTCTCGTCCCCTCCTTCAGTGTCTCCTCCTATCTCATTTACACATGCTTCTTTGTAAGACAACTTTTTTTGTTTCTTCCCGCTACCCTCATCAGCCTCCGCCGCTAACGGCTCCAGGTCACCTTCCTCCACACCCATCATCTCCCCCGCCATCCACTCCTCAACCCTAGGAACCATCGACAGATCGCTAGAAAACTCGCCCTCCACCTTCCTCACCTTCTTCTGACTCCGATCCATGGCATCAATTTCTTCTTTCGTCAATGGCCGTCGCTCCTCCTCACCACTCGCCATCCTTCTATTTTTCCTGATTATAATCTATTTGTTATGTCTCAAGGTATTTGGTTTTTTTTTATATTCACAAATTAGAAAATAATAATTATGATATAAATATCATAATAAAATAATAAAGAAGTCTAAATAAAGAAGTAAGGATATATTTGTCAACTTATAATTAGCTCCATTTCCTTCTCCTCCTAAACCAAACAAGAAATCTTCTCTCCCCTCTCTTTCCCTCCAACAAAACAAAACTCATACCCTTCCCTTTCCTCCACTCCCTTCCCCTTCGTTGAACCAAACAAAGCCTTAGGAATCCAAGCAAAACTATACTGTTTAATTTGACGGGGAGTCTGGGAAATCCTTGTAATTTCTTACAAAAATATTACTATTCTGATTTTTAATATAAGATTTATTTAACTAATTTAATTAAATTAAAAAAATTAAGTAAGTTAATTAATTATAAAAAATATAAAATATTTTTTCTAAAATATTATAATCATCTTTCTTAATATTTTTTTTTATTTTTTTACTTGATTAAGGTTGACAAAGTATTTATAAAAATAATTGTAAAAAATTAATAAATATAAAAAATAGATATTATATTTAAAATCAAAATCAATTTAATAATTTTTTTTTTAATATTTTAAGACGACTTTTCTCTCGCATTTATTTCAATCACTCGTCCTACAGTGCACATATTGCTCTGCTGTCACCTTGCTTCACCCCTTGTCTATAGTAATGATTTCCTCCTTTTCTTCAAAGGCTACTTGCAGAAGAGAGGCAGGCTCCCCTCTACCATACTTTTGCTCCGCCACCACCGTGTGACTTCCACGTCGCGTTTCTACCTCACCTGTTGTTGCAGAGCCATCAAAGCGTGTTGCTTTTTTCAGCAGACTCAAAAAAGAGTTTAGAACTTTTTTAATTCAAACCTTTACCCCAATTTATCAAAGTCCCAGGACTTGTTCTGTTAAAAAGTCTAAACCTTTTTTTCCTCTATCCATGGCGTCTTTTTACTCCAATCCTGGACTCCATCGCCGTCCCATCTCCGATCGAGTTTACCGATCACTCCGTCAAGACCTCCACCTCCTCCACCGCTTTTACTCCACCTTCTTCGTCATCGGCGCCACCGGAAACGTCTACACAGTCACCCTCTCAACTTTCCCCTCCTGTTCATGTCCTGACCCTGTAACTCCTTGCAAGCACATTCTCTTCGTCCTCATTCGAGTCCTCGGCGTCTCTCCGGACGACGTCTTCCTCTTCCAAAGCAGTGAAAACACTCTCTTTCCCTCCGAGCTCCGCCGGATTCTGGACCAGCCGACACCGCCGGACGCCCTCGCAGACGCCGCACTCCGCCAGAGGTTTTACCAGTTGTTCTTTAACCAGAAGCAGGAACATTCCGATTGTAATACGGAGGTTGAAGATGGGACTTCATGTCCGATTTGTCTTGATGAGATGAAGAAGGAAGACAAGATTGTGGCTTGTGGGACTTGCCGGAATCCGATTCATGAACAGTGCTTTGTGAGGTGGAAGGGACGTAATGTAAATGGAATGGTTAGTTGTGTGATTTGTAGAGCTCCATGGAAGAAGGAGAATGAAGATTATGATCAGCATATGTATCTGAATCTGTCTGCTTATACTAGTCAGCCAAATGATCAAGACTGAAACTTTTTGTGAGATTTAGATGATCTAACCTGACTTGAATGCTTTTTGTAATTATATGGGTTGTGGGGCTAACAGAAAATTGTAGTTTCTTGCTTGGAGGTGTCAGAAAATTTTGTCTTTTTTGTGCAGATTTCATCTTCAGGGTTCCATGATTTTGCAATGAAGCTTTGGTTAGTTCTTCACATGATTTGGCTCTTTGATAATGTTGGACTGTCTATTAAATGTCTTATTGGCCCCTTGTCTTATGTTTTGCCTTCTTTTTAATCACTTCGGCTAGTAATAGTATAACGTGTGCCGAAGATTCCGGAAGAAAAAGAGACTGCTACGAAGAAATTGAAACGCAATGTAATGATTTGGATCTGGGCAGTCTGGATAGCCGCTCAGGTTATTTGGGCATTGGGTTAGGTACTCTTGTTTTAAAAAAAATTTCATTTTTGGTGAATAATTACCTTAATTTAAATATATTAAAAAATTAATTAATTTAGTTATTTGTAACAAATAAGTATTATTTTTATTAAAATATCTTTACTAATAATGTACTCCTCTGGTCCTATTTATAGGGCAGAGAGAGAATGTTTTTTTTATCCTATTTATAAGTCACTTCATTAAATTTTTACTATGAATGTACTATATTGTCCTTCATTTATTATAGTGTAGATAGTTTTTTTTTTGAAATATATATATTAAATAGGGGTAAAGTTAAAAAGTTGTTATATTTTAATGAAGAGTTAATGCACTTTAAGGTTTTTCTTGATCTGTGTGAAACATATTAGAAGTGCCTTATAAATAGGAACAGAGGAATATGTTAATTAAAACTACTGTTTGATATGATAGAATATTTAATATATGTATTAGTATAAGAATTATTTTTAAAAAATAGATAAATATAAGAAATAAAATAAATTAAGATGTTATATTTAAAATCTAAAAATTAAACTAATTTTTATGTTAACAACAGGAAGTAGTAATTGTTTTATATTAAGCAAAAAAAAAAAATTGTTTTATAGAACTACTGTTTTGACGCTTCTCATGTAATAGGTTGATTCATTTAATGATTATCAAGAGATTTTTATTGAAACATTCCACTTAGCCTTTACTTTTGGTTTGTCCTTGTTCTATGCATTCAGGCAACTTTTATAGAAGTGCTTGTATTATTGCGTGCTTTGATGAGTCATAATCCTACTTTCCAAGTTGTAATGGATCATGCGCATTGTCTGTTTCCAATCCAAACCCTGAGATTTATAAGTCCAAAAAGATATTTTGGTAAAATCAACACTATAGTTTTAGAAGTATTTTTACGGTATACGAAATAATTAAATGGAGGAATTTGTCTCGATTTATAAAAAAATACTTCTGAAAAGTATTTATTAGACTTCCCAAACACCTCACAGGTCTTGTTAGTTGTGATATCAAGAATGAAATTGCCTATGAATAACATTAATGTGTTTTCAATGAATTCTCTTTAGGATTTTTCCTTCATCCTAGAAACTCAATTTTGTACTTCTTTGGTTCTAAATACAAAACCATTATACACACTCCTAAATATAAGATCCTTATATATTTAGGAGTGTGTATAAGAGTCTTATATTTAAGACGAGAGGAGTAATATCTTATTTTTGTTTTTAGATTCCACCATGCTTGCACTTGCCTCTTATAAAGTATTTTACGTAGAGTAATCTTCTTATTTCAATGATTGAAACGTAGTTATGATATTATGAGATTGAGATCCTAATATGACTAGTGAGGATCTAAGTAGCCCAGATGGTAAAAAGTCAAAATTGCTCGCAAGATCTTAATCTTATAAAGATTCAGAAATAGGGACTCCTTTTTAGTTAGGGGTAAAAGAGAGATTTACCTATATCATAATCAATATATTTATAGGTGACTTTCAAACATTGAAATTAACATACTATTTATCAATATTCATAAAATAATTCCAAATGTCTAGATAAATCACTAACTGGTCCAAAATGATTGAGAGTTCCGTTAAAGATCTCCCGTTTCAACACACAGAAAATTCAAGCAAAGACCTAAACCTCGTTGCCATTGATCACTTTGAAGTCTAAAGACAAAAGAGTTTTGAGTGAGAAGCAGAAGAAGAACGAACAATCAATGGAGTCCTCTTTATGAATTATGACAGTCCTTTCCCTCGCCGCCGCTGCTTCAAATCCTCCCAATCAGCTCTTTTTGAGTTCTCAACATTTGTGTCAGCACTCTTTGTCCTCTTTTGCATTCACCACCTCTTGGAACTTTGGATGTTTCTGGGGACATCAGCGGCCGCTATGCTCCACCTGAGGTTTCACGAGTTGTTATTATTTTACTAGAGCAAGAACGCCTGCAACGTGGTGGCAATGTACAGTTTGGCTCGCATCTTTGTGTGTGCTTATTGATGTACATATTTATTCAGTTCAATTAATTTAGGATCAGTTTGAAATAACTTATAAATAATTTATAAACAGTTTTATAGATGAAAGGAATTTTGTTTCAACTTACATAAAACTTGTTTATAAATGATTTTGAACATGATACCAACAGCCCTTAATGCTTTATTGATTAAGAGGGCATATACGGAGAATCACATACTATATTCCAATTTTTCCAGCAAAGAAGATTTCTTGTCTTACTTTTCAAGAACCTTCGTTTGGCGTGTAAGTTTCAGTTTCGCACTTAAAATTAGAAAACACACTTAAAAAAAAAAAAAAAAAAAAACAAACAGATCGATATCTTCGTAATATTGCTACATTCTGGCCAACGTGACATAAGAATAACGATTACGTACCGAAGTACTCTTCCGGTCCTTAATATAATACCCATTTAACTAATTTGATTAAATTAAGGAAGTTAGATAAGTTAGTTAATTATAAGAAAAGTGACACATTTTTCCTAAAATACCATAATCATATTTCTTAATACCCTCTCTCCCTCTTCTACTTGATTATGGTTGAAGGAGTATCCATAGGGGTAATTTAGAGAAAATTAATAAATATGAAAAATGAGTTTTATATTTAAGACCAAAATCAACTCAAAAATTGAGTCCTATATTAAGGACCGGAAGAGTACCATGATTTGCATGGCCATATTACATCGATTTTTAGAAAAACCATATTGGAAGTATCTACATTTTTCTTTTAAATTTTCAATTTAATGCTCATATGTTTTTTCTATTAATTAAATTTTTATTTTTACTTTATTAACATTGTTAGTTCTTGCATAGAGACTAAAAAAACTAATAGAATAAAGTTATAAGAACTAATGTTACTAAAAAAAAAGTAAAATTAAATGATTTAATTAAAGTAATAAACAAATAAGTGCTAAATTAAAAATTAAAAAAATATAAGCACCTCTAATTTGATATTTTTTTTAATTTTAAACAAATACTCCTCCTGTCCTTAATATAAGATCCATTTAATTAATTTGATTAGATTAAGGAAGTTAGGTAAGTTAGTCAATTATAAAAAATGTGATATGTTTTTCTTAAAATACCATAATTATCTTTCTTAATACCTCTTATTCCTCTTTTATTTGATTATGGTTAAAAAAGTATCCATAAAGGTAAATTAGAGAAAATTGATAAATATGAAAAATAGATCTTATATTTAAGACCAAAACCAATTCAAAAACTAAATCCTATATTAAAGATCGGAAGAATAATTGTTTTTCTCTCTTCAGCCTTTATCAAAGAAGCAATCCATTATGCCAGGACCAAAAATCCTTGATGGGGTTTGAGCAAGAAACGTTGCAAAATTAGAAGATGCCTAGTCCCTTTAGTCCCTTTTGTGCTGCATGATTAGGAGCTGTAATATCTTCTTTTGCTTTTTTGGTGATGAGAAGATGTAACGTCTGACTAAAGGAGAATTTGTTTTCCCCTAAAAGCACTTTAACAAAAGGTCCTCACACCAATCAAGACAGTTCTTCTCACGTTAAAATTACATCTAAAAAACTAAACCTGGGATGAACTTCACCAGAAGAGATATGATATATATCTGGATTATGTTTCATGAGTACTTGCAAAATCAACATGCAAATTCAAAGCTTATGTTCTAAGTCAGAGTTAGACCAAGAAAGCATAACTTCACTAATTTAACTTTCTCATGTATGATTGGTCATTGAATGCAACCATAATAGAGGCCTTGATTTCGAGACATATACAAGTTAATGCATAGCTTGTATGCATCGCACATAACTAAGAAGTCGTGCTAATTTAACTAATGTTTTTGGCTTCAAGTTTTGAGTATGTAGATGCGTTAAAAACTTCGAAAGAACTTTGCAGCTTTTGGGAGTGTTTGGCAACCTCCAAACCATGGTTTCAGAAACACTTCTCTGCAAAACGAAACAAATTCCTCCACATATTTACTTTGTAAACCATAAAAACACTTCTGAAACCATGGTTTGGTTTCTATCTAAACAACCCCTATAGTTTACCCATCTCAGGCTCAAATAAGTACTTGCGTAAGGCACAGAAGCAAATATTCAAATTGATCTCCTACCTTTACGCGACATATTTAGCGTATGGTCGCATATAGCCATGGTTCTGTAGTTAAGGGAACCCATTCATCAAAACATGAAACTCATATCATACTCATTCCTAATCTTTCCTAAACAAGATTGACTTATTTTCATGGACAGTCTCCACGATGTAGGGCCGCGTGAGTCACTTAAAAAATGAGGGAGGGAGCAAATTTTTCTTTCGATGAAGGACAACAAGGAAAACAATAATCCAAGCTTGCCACTAACCACATCATTGAATCCTGCAATCAGAAGAAAATATTTAAGGGCGCAAAGCAAGCAAGAACAATGGTTGCGTACCATTACAAACTACCAAGGTGCAATAGAGATATTCACAATAACACTAATAATTCATGTTAAAAAATTTTAATTGTCGACTTTCCAGAAGCATTGAATTATGTTCTATTTCTGTAAATTTGGAGGGATTATATTAGATCAATCGCACATGAGAAATTCCCAATCTTCAAAGACCACTCAAACTACATGATACAGTTCAGTTGGAGTGCAGATCCCCCATTGCCCGAAATAACATTGCTTGAATTGTACCCGTTAAACCTGAAATCTACATATAATACCCGCCCCACATGTGAAATGGATATATGCACAACTGGGAACTGAATTTGAACCAATTGACGGCAAATGAAAAAGTCAAGCAACTAAAGAAGAAATTGCCAACATGAAAAAGGAACAAAAGCAATCTGGTATTCCTCAGCCGCAGTGGTTCAAAGAAAGCATAAACCTTTCACTTTACTGAGAAATAGTAGTATGATGCAGAAGTAATACAATTCTAGTGACAAAAGATGGAATTCACTTTCCAGGTATCAGGAATGGAAGGTTGGAATTTACCCAATAGAACATGTTTGAGTGTATTACAAAAATTATGAAAAAAAGTTTAGAGGGGTTGGAAATGTTGATTTGCTAAAAAATTTAAAAAGATGGTAAGATTTGAATATCACTCCTATTTGATACAGGTAAAATCTACCCCCATATTAACGCTTTTTCTTTTATCCTGGTATTAATTAAAGGCATATAAGATAAAAATCAATAAATGTTTCCTCTATATCTTGGACCAGAGGGAGTAGCTCACAGGAATAACAACCCATAATCTGAGAACTTGAGCTATTGATCTGTTCAATGCTCAAACAAATAAATATAATCCAACATTCCTCCAAGTTCCACCAAAAAGAAGACAGCAACCAATCAAGTCCCTAAGCTAACACAAACTGATACATTAAAGGGTAGGCATTTATTCAATAAAGGCTAGGGGTAAGCCTGCCAATATAATACAGCCCAATCAGCATTTGAACTTTACCCAGTGAGGTTAGCATTGTAACTAAACATATCCTAGAGCACATTGACGTTACCTCATGCATACTGTGACCCAAGAAATAGTTAATCAAGATACAAACAATTAGCCACAAATGATAAATCAGGTCATAAACAAAATGATAAGATAAGCAAGCAAGATTACCAGCATCAACGTGCAGCGTTAAGAGCCATGAGCAAGTTCTTCCCACCGGGCAGGTAAGCTACGTTAGGCGACTTGGCCAGTGTAGACGCCACTTCCCTTGATGCCTCAATCCTACGAAGTTCAATCAGCCCCGTACCAGCAGACGCCGTGGCATCTGAAATTAGCTTGGCAGACTCACTCTCTCCCTCTGCTCTAATAATGGCAGCCCTCCTTTCCTGCTCCGCCTTCATCACCACGAACTTGGACCTCTCTGCCTCTTGTTGCGCCACCTGCTTCTGCTCCACAGCCCTTGAAAATTCATGTCCATATGACAAATGAGTGATAGCAACCTGTGCAAATATCACAAATGAGTCGCATTGCATTTGTAAGTGAACTGCAATCTTCCATTGAATACCAACGTAAACAGAAATCAAATGAAAATCCATTCATCATACATCATCAAGAACAATGTTGAAATCCTTAGCTCGCCGGATCAAACTCTCACGAACTAGCGCCGAAACATGGGGACGCTCAGTCAAGAGCTGATCAGCATTGAATTGCGCGACCACGGCTTTGAGAACTTCATTTCCAATGGACGGAAGAACCTTCTCATCATACTCGAGCCCCAGGTTCTGTACAATCACGGGGAGGCGACCAGTGTCAGGACGAGAGAGCACTCGGAGGGTGAGGTTGACCATCTGCAAGTCCTTGGTTCCAGAGACGGAAGAGAAGGTGTGAGGGCGAGTGCGAATGTCGAAAATGTAAGGCTTTTGTACCCAGGGGATGAGGAAATGAGTACCCTCCCCCACAGTATCGTCAAGAATACCCCGGAAACGATCGAAGAGGACGGCACGTTGGCCACCGTCAACGGTGTAGAGACTCGAGTTCAGGACGGTCGCGGCGGCGCCGAGCCCGAAGGCGGCGCGTGCGACGTTCGTGAGGAACGAAACAGCTGCTTGGCTACCCATGAAAGAGCACTGAAAGTGATCGGTGAAAATGAAGAAGGTATGAGAGGACTAGGAAGAGGGAAAGAGAGAGGGTTTTAGGCGAGTGTCTTCGAGTTTCAAAACCCTAGTTTGGCTTGCGAAGAGGGGCAGAGATTTTTTTTTTTGGACGCCGAAGTTTTAGTTGGGCATCAGGGCCAAAAAAGGCGCTTAGCCATCTGAAATTTGGGTGTTCTTAGATGGGTAATTTGGGACCGCACTGGAATTAAGGGCCTGTTTGGATAACATAGAAAATCATGGTTTTGGGACCCAAACCATCCAAACCATGGTTTGGGTCCCAAACTTGCCAAACACCCAGGAAAAAACAGAAACTATGGAGGTGTTTGGATGAAGCCAAATCATGGTTTAAAGAATAGCTTCTGGAAAATAGATTCTGGAGAGAATAGATTTTGAAAGAATGGATTTTCTGAAAAAGAGATTCTGATTAAATGAGAGTGTTTGGATAGTTATTATCAGAAGTACTTTTTATATGTGCAAATTACTAAAAAGGATATAAGTTAATATGATAATTACATAAAAAAATAAATTTTATAATATAATTTAATTTCAAGAAATAAATTTGTTATAATATATTTTTTACCAACATAATTAATAATATATAAGAAAATGTAATTAAAAATAATTAATATTTATATATATTTATAAAACATAAGATTAAATATGTTTTTTTATAAAAATAATTATTTTCTTGCCGATAGAAAAACACCTCACCAGCGCCTCTTCTTACTAGCTGAGGATATAATTGCACCACCACCACGACATCTATTGAACGAGCAAGGAGGAAAAAAGAAAAGAAAAAGAGGATTTGATTTCAATAGAGGGTCATTCTTGTCTGGACCGTTGCTTTCTTCTGAGAGTGTGTTTGGCAAGCACCCCAAACCATGGTTTTGGGACCTAAACCATGGTTTGGGAAAAATGTTAGCCAAACACCCTTAAAAAAATCAAAACCATGGTTTAGGTTCAAAACCATGGTTTTGACTCCAAAACCATGGTTTTGGGAAAAACAGAAATTTTTTACTTTTGGAGAAAAAAGGAAGAGTGTGAGAGCCTATAAGATATGTATTTTGTTTTTTTTTTATAAACATATTTTTTATAAACATATTTAATCTTATATCTTATAAATATATATATACATATTAATTATTTATTAATTATATTATCTTATATATTATTAATATATGTTAATAAAAAATATATTATTAACAATTTTATTCCTTCAAATTAAAATATATCATAAAATATATTTTTTCTATAATTATCATATTAATTTATGCCAATTTGTATATATAAAAAGTACTTCTAATAACAACTATCCAAACACTCACACTTCTCAAAATCACTTTTTCACAAAATCTATTCTTCCCAAAATCTATTTTTTTCAGAAGCTATTCTCCAAACCATGGTTTGGTTTCATCCAAACACACCCTGACACCCATAATAATTATACCAGCACCCACAATTGGAGCCTCATAAGCGAAATGTTTTAGCTTTTTCCGGGACCATGGTTTCGGAAACTGAAAGCGTGGTTTCAATCTAAACCATGGTTTTTGAAAATATTAGGGTGTTTTGCTAATTTTTTTCCAAACTATGGTTTGGGTCTCCAAACCATGGTTTGGAGAGATAGCCAAACACCCCCTATGGTTTTGGGTCAAAACCATGGTTTGGAGCTCAAAACCATGGTTTTAGAAGAAGTGAATTCAACCAACAGGGGTTGGTCCAAGTGGTAAGCGGCTTGGTACTGCTTAAACAAGGTCTCGAGTTTGAGCCTCAGCGTATGCAGAAATGCTCGTTGGGAGACTCACCCACCAAAGCCAGGTGCGCGACGCGGGTCGGATCCAGATGTAATCGGAACAAAGCTCCGGTGAACTGGGTGGGCAACCAAAAAAAAAAGAAGAAGAAGAAGAAGTGAATTCATTCTACTTCTGGCTCAAATGGGAGAGTATGATTGTGTCTGTAGAGTAGATCTTAACGATAATATGATTTTAACATTTCTCAATTATTTTTTTATAAACATATCTAATCTTATATTTTATAAATATATATACATATTAATTATATTATTTTATATATTATTAATTATGTTGGTAAAAAATATATTATTAAAAATTTTATTTTTTCAAATTAAAATATATTATAAAATCTATCTTTTATGTAATTATCATATTAACTTATAACTTTTTTAGTAAAATTTGTACATATAAAAAGTTCTTCTGATAACAACTATCCAAACACTCTCATTTATCAGAATCACTTTTTCACAAAATCTATTCTTCACAAAATCTATTTTTTCCAGAATCTATTCTCCATAAGCTATTATCCAAACCATGGTTTGGTTTTATTCAAACACCCCCTATATTCATCAGAAAGTTCATTCTAGACTGTATTGTCTTGTGCCATCACCGAAGAGTTCATTCTTTGCCTCCAAGAGGACCTTACTCTCACCAACAAGAGTAAGTTGAATTGTTAAGAAATCAATTTATAACTTATAAGATTGTAAGTTTGAATCCTATGTCTGATGTAAAAACCTTGTTGATGGATAATCTATAAGTACTTCTATAAACACTCTTTGACTCTGAAGGTATGCTCTGGTCCTAATGAGTCATCGAGACCCAACTCACCTAAACATTTTTCTGCCAAAAAAAAAAGTACGTTCTACTCAACCAGAATGCTGACCAATTTTGAAAATTCCTTTAGTCAATTTCTCTTCCCTGTAAGAATCTTCTTATTGTGTGAAAATTATTAAATCAAATTCTATTGACAAATGATATTTTTAAAAAATATTCCTTCTATTCTAAATATAAGACCCATTTTGCAGTGTAAATTACACTGCAAAATAGGTCTTACATTTAGGACTGGAGGAGTATATTTAATCTTGGCCCTTTTGGCTGTATGACTGAAGAATATCTAGAACACTTATTTATTCAGTGTCTTTATGTTAAAGCCCTGTAGAGGGTGTTTGGATGAAAACCAAAAGGGTGTTTGGCTATCTCCCCAAACCATGGTTTGGGAAAAAAATCAGCCAAATACCCACCTTTTTTTTTTGAAACCATGGTTTCAGGCAAAACCAAGGTTTTGGCCATGGAAACCATGGTTTTGAAATAAGCTACCTGACACTAGCTTCTGAGCAATAAAAAATGTTGTTGGAGTAATAATTACTCCTCAGTAGCTCCCAACGGTCAAAAAAATTTTGGGACTTCATGTTTAAAATTTTTAAGAAATCATAATATTTTTTATTGGCAAAATAAATAATTTTTCTATAAACATATTTAATTATTTTATAAATATACACACACACATTAATTATTAATTATTTATATTATTTATGTCTTATTTATTGTGTTGCCAAAATATATATTATTAACAAATTTATTATTTCAAATTAACATATATTATGAAATATATCTTATATGTAATTATCATTTAAACTGATGTCCTTTTTAGTAATTTCTACATATAAAAAAACACTTCTGACAATAACTATCTGAACACTCTCACTTTATTAGAATCACTTTTTCAGAAAATCTATTTTTTCAAAATCTATTCTTCCCAAAATCTATTTTCCAGAAGCTATTCTCCAAACCATGGTTTGGGTTTATCCAAACACCCCCAAATCATAATTTCAGAAGTGATTTTACGATATACAAAATAAATATATAAAGAAATTTATCTCAATTTATAAAAAAGTGCTTTTAAAAAGTACTTCCAACCATTCCCAAACACCCCTCTTGGTTTGGTTGCTGCACAAAGATGGCAGGAATGATCTTCTATATGGAACCATCATTCTCATGAAACACCGTTTGGCTTAAGAGAAGCATGTATATCTGTACACAGAGGAAAGATTATTGTCTCCGAGCGCAAGTATAAAGGGTGTAAAAGGCATGATCAACTTATTAAGCCTAGCTTTCTCTTCTCACGTCTAACAGAAGTTTATAATCACATCTCATTCGCGGTATAATCCCAAGTAATGAATCATTACATTGCGGAAGGGCTACATCTCTTGCCAAGCATAAATGCTATAGGAATGCATTTTCGTCATCGTATTATATCTCGAAAAGAGGCTCCATTGCATCAACTTCAATGGCGATGTTTGGTGGCTAATCTAACCTCTTTCCATATTCACTATTCAAAGGCAGCACTGCGTTGAATCTATCGGTCGGGTTTATTTATAGCCATTATTTCTGAGAGCTAAGGAACTTTTGTTTTGGCCATGCGACGCTGACAAAATAAATTCATGAATTTTTGTTAAGAGAAGAAATGACTCCCAAACTTGTAAACTATATTCCAATCATACATATCTCTAATTCTCTATGGTGGGAGAATTGAACCTCTTAAAATTAATTTAAAACAGTTCTTTTTTTTCTCAAGAAAGAAAACAAAATCTCATCTTCACTTTTGATTGTTTTGTTAAAAAAATATTCCGTTCAAAATTTTATCACATTACTATTTTTTTCTCTGGTTAATTCACCGGTCAAGCTAAATTGATCCAGCCTATACCTGGAGCTAATCTCGCCTACCAAAGTTCGAATCAAAAGCGCGAATCTTGCATTGCATCTTTCTCTTAGCAACGCAAATAAAAAAGCCAATTAGCCAAGACGGCTTTTTTTCCCCATCATTTTCATTTTCTCTGTGTTTCTGCTCTTGCTGAGCTAAAACCCTATTCTTTTGGTTCCTTTTCTTTTGGATCCCTCCAGAATTTGAACAAATTCGGGTGAAATTTATGTTTCCTTGACTCTTCCATTTTAAATGGAAAGAGATGGGAATTATGACATCGCAGGAGATAAATGTCAACCTGATTCTCTGTTAGGTGGCGAGCCAGCTACCTCGAGCTGCAACCTATTCTTGGATCATGTTGGTGAAGTCACCCTCACTTTTAATTCAGACGGGTTATCTTGGGAAGCGGTTGAACCGTTGGTTAATGTAAGTGCTCTTTGATAACTATAAAATAGTAATCGTGTTCAATTGGTCGTGGTATGGGCCATTTGGAGATTAACCCTGATCAAGTATTTATTGAAAATTTTCTACATTACAATCATATGATTAAATTTTCGAACCTGAATTGTATATATTATGGTATGATTAAGTTTAGTCATGCTTCATTTGTGTTTTAAAAGACTTCCATGTGGTCTGAATGAGTCTTACTGGGCTTGTCTGATCATGTTTGGTTTTCTTTCCCCGTGCCCTGCTTTTCTGATTGCGAATTTTTAAAACAAGAAGGTTTGTTTTATCATGGATTATTGAGATAGTTCTCATTCTCAAAGCTGTTAATTACTAATGAACAGTTAATCCATGTTTCATCTTCTAATATTTATCCTAAACTTCCGATTGAGCAGGACACTTCGACCTGTTTGGGGATAAAATACCTTTCTAATGCTGCTACGGAGATTAAACTTTCCGATATATATGCTGCTGAGTTTATTGATTATGGTCTGCTGCATTCATCACGTATCTCTCGTTCCATGAAACATCTTCTTATTGGGCATGACGTCAAGGTTTGTTCTTGTTCTTTTTCTTGCTTATTTGCTTATATTCTTTCATAGGCAAATCAAATAAGGTGAATGTATTTCTTACAATGGCACAGATGTATCGTTTTTCGGTGTACGGTGTCCAAAGGAATGAGATTCAGCCTTCTCGGCTGGTCCCTGTTAAATATACTTTTGGCCATAATAATCTGCAAACATGTCAGATGTGGGTAAATCGGCTTAATTCTTCCTTGAACCTCAAAGTTGAAAGACCACAAAATCTCATGGTATGTTCTGATACTGGTTAAACACTGGGTTTTGTACTTTCCTTTAACTTCCATCGATTAGTTGAAATGAACATTGCCCGGAGATTATTTCTGATTCGCTAGGTTTTTGTTCATCCAAGGAGTGGGAAAGGACTTGGCTGCAGAACCTGGGAAGCTGTGGCTCCTATATTCTCCCATGCTAAAGTGAAAACAAAGGTAAATGTTTTCAGCATATTTATGCAGTGGTTTTCTGAATGTTCACATCTTCTAAGCATCAAATGCTTGTCATTTAACTTCTATTATGCTATTATACCTTATTTAAGAAGCTCATGCTGACACATGTAATAGCATTTTCCGACCCTTAACTTTTGTACTCTGTTATGGCGGTTGAGCTAGAGATAACTTTCTGTTCATATAATGTTGCAAGCCTCTGAAGTTTAAGACCCTTTCATCCACTATATATGGCTGACGAGGAAAAACTGGATGAAAGCTGTGCCTGATCCTCTGTTACATCTAGCAATGATAACATGTTGATTGCTTTCATTTTACTTTTCCTGGCCAGTCAATCCTACTACGTTTGCATTGAGCTAAAACAGACTACTGGTTATCTACCAAGATTCTAGTGAATGATATCTCTATTCTTAAAACGAAGCATCTTGATGAATACTGGAGTCAGTACTAAATATGCCCTACAACTTGACCCGAATTCTCAAATACAAAATACAGACCGCAAATAACATCTTACATTTACATAATAGAAGTAATATCAATGAACCCCCCCCCCCCAAAAAAAAAAAAAAAAAAACCCTTCACAACTGCTTAGTTGTATATCTTTTACATGTTTTTAATCTTGTTCTTGAACTTGACTAGACTTAAATTGGGCTCTACATGTGTATTTAATGAACTTGAGCAATGATTTATGTTTTGACTTAATGTTTGAACTTTCTTGGGTTCATATGAAAGTATGTGTGAATTATGAATCCATACCCTTCTGAAGGAAGTTTATGTTAGCCCCATTACGTACTTTGAGGAGCAGTAATGATATCATGACATTTCAGTGTTTGATTTGCAAATGGGAACAAATAAGTTACTACTACTGTATATTTTTAGGTGCCAACAGCTAATATAATTTTGTTGCTGACTGATGTCTTGGTAACCATCTTGCTTCCCTTCAACAGGTAGTTGTAACGGAGAGACCCGGACAGGCCTTTGATGTGATGTCCTCTATAACAGACAGGGAGCTCAACTCTTATGACGGTGTTGTTGCTGTTGTAAGAACATGCATATCTTTTCATGCTTTCTTAAATTTTGTGAACAATTACCATACTGCTATTACACTGATAAAGTTACAGAAGCATGTCTGGTTATAATAGAATGGAATACTTCCCCTTAAGCGCAGTGAGCAGTTTGCGTGCTTGGTTTCATGTTGACATAATGTGCTGTTAGTTGCTTCATGCTGCTAAATGATCTCTTTAGCTAACTTCTTAGTTAGCCTCCCTTCCCTCAATAACAAAAAAGCAAAAGATGCATAAATTGTGAAGGAGGAAATAACTTTTCCTTTTCTTGGTTTATCAATAATTTGAAAGCTCATTATAGTATGGTGATTTTACCTTTTGTGGTCTTGCAAACTATCAAAAGGTGCAGCATCTTACAATGTGAAATGTCTCAAGTGAAACATTACAATATGCTAACAACCTTACATCCACGTTAATGTTATGAGTTCAGTAATTGTTATTCAATGGTCATGTAGGGTTTGCATTCCTTTTCAACCAAGGAAAAAATTATTTTGGAATCAAACTTTGTGGGATTTGACTTGGGAATTCATCATCATATTCATTTTCAATATTGAATCTATGTTTTGAACTACACAAATTAAGCCATATAAGCAGTAGAGTGAGGCTTTTAGCCAAGCATGATTGAAACTCATGCACTCATATTTTCATTCTTCAAAATGAGGCTAAATGTTGGTGGAAGTTCAAAGACATGGTAATTTAAATGCATCAATTTACTGCGTTTTGATTTACCTCCTGTTTGCAAGCAATTTTCTTTCTTATATGCCAATTACATGATGCATTCTAATTGAGGTGGTTCCAGGGTGGTGATGGATTTTTCAATGAAATCCTTAATGGGTTTCTTTCTCCCAGGCTAAAAGCTCCCATGCCACCCGCCCCATCAGATTTGGTTCATTTGGTCAAAGATAGTTATGGTTCCTTGGTTCACGATGGAAATGAAGCAGCTGAGGAGAGTACTGATCAAAGTGAAGAACAATCTCCTCTTATCTCATGTCCAGAACAAAATGGATCCAGAATCTCAAATTCCGGTTAGTGGCTTGCCTATAATTGCTTACCAATCTCTCTGCAATTGCTTCCCGGTTGTAATTGTTGGTTTGCTTGTTGATTCATGCATTCATTTGGTTAGTGGTTGTCTTTGAATTTATAATAACTGAAACAACTATTTAAGTATGTTAATTTTTCCTTACTTTATGTAGTTATGTTATATATTAGTTTTCCATCCCCTATCTTTTCCATTTTCCATTTTATGTTTTATTATTTTAGACTCTCAGTCTCACCGCCACAAAAGAAAAAGAGAAAGGGAACAAGATCAGAAGGAAACTTATGGGGATCATTTTTTTGAAGATTCGGCAGCTCGAGATCCTGACTTTCAAATCCTTAAGGAACGGTTTAGATTTGGAATCATCCCTGCTGGTTCAACTGACGCCATTGTCATGTGGTATATGACTTTCTCCCTTCCAATTGTATATTTGACTTTACATTGACATTAGCTTCATATATATGAAAGCAAAAGATCTATGTTTGTGCAATTGTATCAGATTTTATTTTGCAAGGATTAAGACTATCTCCCTTTTTGCAATGGGCTCACGCATTAGTGCTTGCATTGATGCTTCATGAGTATATTGTTAAAATAAAGAAGCCTCCGTAGTATTATGCTCTGTATGGCACATATCTATCAGCTAATTATTGAGACTACCTTAACGTATACTCTCCATGCTGCTCATTCATGGTGCATAGATTCCACAATTGCGGGCTAGAGGCATTGTGATTGTATGATAATCTGTCTATGAAGTTGCTTACATCATGCCTCCCTGACGAAACAATTTTTAATGTCCCTTGTAGTTTTCTAATACACATATGTGACTTGTCTGAATACAACAATCTCATTTGTATCTTTTCTAGTACAACTGGAAGTCGAGATCCTATAACATCGGCACTGCATATTGTTCTTGGCAAAAGGGTGCACCTTGACATAGCTCAAGTTGTAAGGTGGAAAGAAACACCTAAATCCGCAGTTGAACCTTGTGTGCGCTATGCAGCTTCGTTTGCTGGGTAATGCCTCTGTCAATGTATTTTGATCACATTAGCGAGAGGATTCAGTTCAAGCTATAGTTTGTGGTTCAGACTAGTTTATTTAATGTTGTTGTTTTCAAGTGTCTTCTTTTGGCGTACTTTCTGGAATTTGGTTGATTTTAGATTGTTCTTTTTCCTTTTTTAAACATTCAATGCTTTCTTTTGTGTTAGAAAAACAATTATTTGTATTAAGAAGCTTGCTCTCTCTTTTTCTTCCTTGTTTCTCTCTTTTTGATGGAGAACATGCCTGGTGCATGGATGAAAAATTACACATGTTCAAATGCCATGATGTAAAATAAGTACTACGAGTAGTTGTTTTATGGCAATGGAGGAAAACAACTGACGCTAGCTTTCTTAAAAACTTTTTGGCTAAGTGGCTTGCTAATCTCAGATTCCCTTAAAACTTTAAACGGAGAGGGTGAGAATAGAGAATAAATTTTTGAAATCATCATAAAGGGATAGCTACTAGCTCTTGCCTTGAATGCAGTTCACTTTAACAACACGCTTAAAACTAATGAAAATTTTCCCCATGCGTCTTTGATTGTGCATTTCCATGCTAATCATTAAATTGCTTTCAGCTTTGTCAATTTAAGATTTCATGTGGCTGTTGTTGTTCCTGAGGATATTATTTTGAAGCCTATTATTTTAATTGGAATATACTCCTGTACCCCATCCAAAGCCTCACACTTGTTCTGACGCATTGATTCATATTCTTGCATCTACTGTATATTGACCCCTTGAGTTTTTATGAATGTTTCTTCAATAATCTTTTATTCTTTCTTATGACATTAGGTATGGATTCTACGGTGATGTTATCACAGAGAGCGAGAAATATCGCTGGATGGGCCCCAAACGCTATGATTATGCTGGTACAATGGTGTTTTTAAGGCACAGGTGAACCAAGTGCGATTTCTTGAATTTTTGCTCTTTGCATCTCAATTCTATCTTCTTTCTCGTCTTCTTTTTGATAAGACTCAATTCTATCTTCTTTTTGATATACTCCTATGCCCTTTCTGACAGATCAAATTTTTTATAACAGATCATTAGCTATTGATCAACGGAATCCCCTCCCCCATTTTTAGCAATCAACTTAATGGAATCCCTCTTAGAAATGGATCAGTTTTCATCAGTAACTGACAGAGACGATAAATGGAAAGTTACATGAGTAGTCTGTGGTCAAAACTTTCGAATTAAACCCCCTTTTCTTTTGCTGATGAAGCTGCCAACTTGTTGCAGTATCTATGCTAAGTTTCAAAACATTTATTAGGTTCTCTAAGCTTCAAGGGTTTTTTTTCAGTGCTAAGCTCATACGGCAAATGTACTTGTTTGATATGTTTTCTTATATTGCTACTCATGCTTAAGCTAGCCGCCTCTCCTGAAAATTATTTTCATTTTCTGACTGTGGATATTCTTACAGGTCATATGAGGCTGAGGTAGGCTATCTGGAAGTTGATTCAGATAGATCCAATCTGACTTTCAAGGGCAACAATCAAGGAAGTAGGGTACAAGAAAAGAGTAGTCCATGTAAACCAGAAAGACGTATCTGCCGTGTCAATTGCGAAGTTTGTATGCCAAGTCATGTGACCCCCGGAATTTCTGGCCCAAACCCTTATTTGAGGACAGAGAATGCCAAATGGAAGAGATGCAGAGGACGTTTTCTCAGTGTTGGAGCTGCTGTAATCTCTTGCAGAAATGAAAAAGCACCCGATGGTTTGGTGGCTGATGCACATCTTTCAGATGGTTTCCTTCATCTTATATTAATTAAAGACTGCCCTCATGCCTATTATCTATGGTACATACCGCCTCCCTCTCTTTTCAAATTATCATAACCTATTTATGTTGGTATGATACTTGGCACATGAACTATTGAGAAAGTGACTCTGGAAAACATAGGGTTTGAATGGTTAAATTATGGGTGGGAGTGCTATTGTTGCTTGATGGCTCCTCAGTGAAATCTCTTGAAAATCTTGTGTATCCAAAATCTTGTGCCTTGAAGGATTGATTTTCCTATGTTTTTTAAGGGCAATTTACTAATGCGATATCATATATTTACCTAACGTTTGGATTTGTTTGAATTGGGAATATATCACTTACAATAAAATGCCCATAAGATTAAGGTCTCTGTAATGTTCTGGCTTTGGTAAACAAGTTGAGCATTGCATATAGCAAACAAATCAAACTCTCCATATTCTTCTGTGATTTTTCCCCCTTATCTCGAATTATTTTTCTCTACCTGATGTTCCTTAAACATGTTTGATACACATTCTGTTTTTATGTGTTTATGCTTCTGATAATCTATTCTGCTTTTTTTTTTTTTTAATCATACACGCGGATATTTTAATTTAGTTAATGCCACTATGCTTTTCTGTGTTTTTTCTGTTTTTTTAATTTTTTTACTGAGTATCAAATAACTTGAACATCTAGTAATAAACATTTCCCTTGTATGACAATCGATGAACACTACAGGCACCTCACTCAACTTGCACGAAGAGGTGGAAATCCCTTTAATTTTAAGTTTGTAGAGCATCATAAGGTCAGTTTTCTCCTCTTCTCCATTTACTCAATCCCTCATGAATGACTTCCTAACTTAGTTTAGCATCTACAGACCCCGGCATTTACTTTTACATCCTCGGGCAATGAGAGCATATGGAATGTGGACGGCGAGCTCTTCCCGGCACACCAACTCTCAGCACAAGTGTTCTGTGGCCTTGTTTCGTTGTTTGCATCTGGTCCTGAGGTTTAGTGTCTGGCATGGCTTTTTGCTTCAACTTGTTTTGGCTAAGCCAGCCATGAGCAGGAAGAACCCATAATAAATTTATTGTATCTCTTTGCAACATGTATTACAGAAAAACTTGCTCTGTATATTTAAAATCATGTTTAGGACCATAACTGTAAGCATGGAAGGAAGATTTTTTAGCATACGAGTACACGGTATTTTTCTTGTTAACTCCTCAGGATTCTCTCTGTATTTATAATTGGAATCCTGATACTGAATAAATCCAAGTATTCAGGGCAGACCTGGTTGGCATTGTTAATGATAGGGTGAGGTCTCGCATTCTGATGTTGTAGGGATTTTAGTGAATCATTTAAATGTTAATTTAAATGGTGTTCACATCTTATTTTTATTTTCTTAGATTGAGACTTTCACTTGAAAGTTGCCAAAAAGGCCTTTTAAAGCAGCACAAATTTTACTCTCTCTAAATATAAGTATGAAAATATGGAGTTTAATTTACTTTTGAGGTAACTCACTGATGAGACAACTTAGGGAGAATGACAGAAAAATCTCCCTAAAGTATGCAAAACACAAATTATGAATCCGAAATAGCTCAATCATTTGAAAATTCCTGGGATTAGTAAGGAATTAACTCCTTTTTTTTTGGGGGGGGGGGAATTACCTAAATGCCCGCAACCAATGACAATTACATTCATGAAGACAAATACAATCAGTGACAACTTCAGCTTAACAATGGGCATTGATCCTAATGGACAAAGTTTTGACAACTCAAGTATGAGATCTGGAGTTAGGAAACACTTTTGAGAGAATTATCCTAAATGGGGTCTGATAATGCTGGAATTTGCTCAGTAAAAAGAAGAATAGCAAAGCAAGCACATGACATCCCCTCAGGTGATAAGTGAAATGTGTTTTTTTTTTTTTTTTTGGAAATATAGTGAAAAAGGACTACCGGATTAGAAAAATTGCAAATAAAGACTCATGACAATATTAATATGGGTTTTTACAACAATAGTATAGGTTTTGACAACAATTTTAACAACTTGGTCCCTGTGTGCAAGTTTTCTATTTCAGTAGTTTTTTTTTTCTCATTTTTTTGGGGTGACATAAAATCTATTCCCAGGGTGGTGAATTTCCATGGACGAGCTTGTGACTTTCTTTTATTTCTTTTCATTAGTATTTGTGTGTGTTTAAATTACTTATTTTAAATGATTTTATATTTTACAAGATAAATATGTAAGCTAAGTTTTGTTTGCCTGCCATGTTCTTCGGGTTCCTACTTTTTTGTCTGGAGTGAATAAACTATCTAGCCGATTTGAACCCCAAAAAAAAAAAAAAAAAGAAGATTACGGAAGCAACAATTAAAAACAAAAAAAGCAAAGAAAGAAAGAAACAGTCATGGTTTTGCTGGTTTTACCCTTACGTTTGTAAACTCAATTACATGAATAAAAGAAAGACTATTCAAGTGCATACATACATATAAGATGTATTAATCTTGATTAATGTATTTTTCAGATCTCATAAAAAAACATAGAATTTGTAAAATTAACTGTATTTTAAATAGCAGTGATTATCACGGTCTTGTGGTCATTTAGAAAATTGATTAAGTCATCAGGCCACCATAATAATCAATTGTCATATAATGTAAATTATTTATAATTGAGTTTGACAACATTTAAATCAGATTTGATTGTACTAACCCTCAAGTAAAATCTGGCAAAAAAAAAAAACTCAAATAAATGTGTCTGTGCGTGCCCATACACACAAATAAAATTGAAGACAAATCAAATTGACAATAGTAACATAATTTCATGGACAGATGATCTGTAAGTAATTTTTTAGCTCTCTTCAAGATATGAGACTTTTTATGACTCTAATAAATTCTAAAACCCAACTTGGCTAAATATTTTGTAACAAAAGAAAAGTGCAAGTAAGTAATTCATAATAGTAGATATTTCTCATTCTCATTATAAGTCACTTGTAGGGTAAAACTTTAGTCCCAAATATTTTATCCCCATTTAATTTCTGTTGAAAAGGGAAAAATATGAGAGAAATTTGAGAATGATTTGTAAATATAGAAAGAGAAAGAAAAATTTTTAATAAGTACAAATTTGAAAAGTTTTATAAATTTGATTGTCATTCAAGGAGTTACGAGTTAGTGATATACTCCTCCGGTCCTTATTATAAGACCCCATTTGACTTTTTATTTGGTCCTAATTATAAGATCCCAATCCATTTTGTCTCTTATATTTATGCATTTTTTTCCAAGATAATCCTTCTAATAATGATAGTTTTAGCCAATATACTTAATTAGCAAGGATATTTTAGGAATGATAACACTTATTTATTATAAATAACCAACTTAACTTTCTTAATCTCCTCAAATAAGTCAATTAGGTCTTATAATTAGAACCGGAGGAGTACTAATTGTTTGCTCCAAAATATATATATATATAGACATTTAATCCTAATTTATATTGAATATTTGAGCCCCTTTTTCCCCTTTTAGGCCATGGACTAAATAATATTTAACCCTAACCATTCAAAATTTGATTAAAAGTTGAAGTGGATAGTGAAGAAAAAGTAGACGGAAAAAGAAATCGAGATCAACCAAATCCGTCCCACTTGTGTGACTTATCCTTATATTTGGATAATATTAAGAGGGCATGGTTAAATTTTGGAATAATAAGAGTATATTAAGTATTTTAAATTCTAAGAGAATTGTAATAAAAGATTATCTAAATCTTTATTAAACCAAACATAATATGTTGAATAATCATAATGTGCATGGAAATTGCTTGTCTCCCTAATCCTTATTTACTTCTATGATATATATTCTAGCCATCTTAGGCAAAAAAAAAAGAAAAAAAAAAGAAAAAGAAAAAGAAAAAGTAAGTCACACATTTTAAAAATATTAAGAATAACTCTTACGAGATGTTTGTAAGTAAAGACTTGCAGAATAAATTATATCATATATTAATGATTTATATTCTATCATCCTTTTATTTTAAAACTTGAATCATTTTAATTTAACTTTCGATATCAGTATTAAAATAATCACTTTTTTATGGGTTATTATTCAATTCAGAGGTAGGTTGACTAAAGGCATGCGTTGAAAGGTCAATAAGTTTTTGGTTATTGAATAGGGAAAATTCATGTTCTAGTCGTTCTTTTTTCTGTTTTTGTTAATAAACACAAGAATTTTTCTATTAGAAATAATTTCATTTAAAATATTTTCAGATATTACATGTGAAAATATTTTTCAATAAATTAATCCCCTTGTCATTGCCTATGAGTCACCAGCTCATTTTTCAACAGACACGCGGTCAGAGCCCCAAGCTCCTCCTATTACTTGGGAGCTTACAGTTTCATTTTCTATTTTACTTTCCCATGGGTTAGTTTTGATGTTATAGTTCTTATCAAAACTAGTTGTTAATTATAAAGACTAACTGAATAATTTTTATCCATAACTTTTTTTCCTGCTATCATTCATTTATAAAAATTAAAAATAATAAAATTAATATTTAAAATTTAAAAATTATTTTCTAAAATTCTTAGAGCAAATTATTATTATTATTATTAATGTTTCATGAAATCATAACCTTATAGTCTTTTCATTTTTTTATGAGGGGTATTTCTGCTAGAGGATAATAATAAATATGAACTTCTTTTTAACAGTTATATTTACTTCTCATCTATCGAAGTTTTAATATGAAAAAATAATTGTGAAGTAGCTACAATTCAAATTATGAGTCGTTGTTAAAAAGAGTATGGCAAAAAAGAAAACACCGAGATAAAAACCAAGCCAAATTTCATCATGTGATATCTAGAATAGTGCACGTGAGCGTGCAATATTTTTATTAATTTTTATCTAATAAAATTTACTCTTCTCTATTCTATTTATAAAATACTCCTCCAATCGTTAATATAAGACCTATTTAACTAATCTGATTAGATTGAAAAAGTTATGTAAGTCATCTAATTATAAAAAATATGATATGTTTTTCCTAAAATACTATAATTATCTTCATTACATCCTTTTTCCTTTTTCTGTTTGATTATGGTTGAAGAAGTATCAATAAGGATAATTTAAAAAATTAATAAATATAAAAATAGGTATTACATTTAAGACTAGGGGGTGTTTGGATAGAAACCAAACCATGGTTTCAGAAGTGCTTTTACAGATTATGAAGTAAATATGTGGAGGATTGTTACCTTGTTTTGCGGAAAAGTGCTTCTGAAACCGCGGTTTTGAGAATGCCAAACACCAATACCAAGTTAATAATTAGGTTTTATATTAAGGATTGAAGGAGACAATTTTTGGATGAACTATTTCCATTTGTAAGATATATTTGAAAGATGTTTATAATTTTAGCAAATTTTTTTATTTTTATCCAATTAATTATATTATGTCTAGCCTTTAATATTAGATTTACTTTATTAATGTAATCTTTATTACAAAAATGAATCTTATATTAACAATTGAAGGTAGTATGTTATATTTTTCATATAGGCATATCTCTTTGTCATCCTTATTGGATCACTCCATAAAAAAGGATTATATTTTTGAAATATTCATTATTTTTAATTAATTTTAATTTTTTAACGGTTAATTGTTCTCGACTTCTCGTGGCAACCCCACTTATAGGTTTGCATTTGGCATGTTTTGTGCTTATGTTAAATTGTATTTAAAAAAAACTAGTTTTAATGAACTTTTAGTTTTTTTGTAATCTGATCATTACTGTCTTAGTTATAATTTTAGTCCAAAATCATGATTTCGGATTATTTCTCCAAAATTAATACTATTTGGGTGACATTCCACGCAAACTATGGTTTTGTCTCCCAAACTATGGTTTTGGAGAGCACCCAAACAGGCCCTACTAGTAGAACTAATTTTTAATTCTGTTTCCATACTGATCTGTTTTATTTGATTATGCAGTCCAAACGCCCCATTATAATGCGCTGACCTTTCTAGATCAGTTTGCGCTGACCTTTCTAAATCTATTACCAATCCAAATGATGACACAGTTCAAACTGTAAATTTGCAAATAAGGACAGAGGCAAATGAAAAATCCGAACCAGAGAGAACAAAATTTGAGTCTGAGTTCCAAAGAATCTTCCGAGTCCAAGATTTGATAGTCACAGTACTGATCACAATGTCTTGTAGAGGCGAAGGCAGGTTTTAACATTTCCATCTCGTTTTGGTATCAAATTCCACCATTCAGTTTGACTAAGCACGGACCCGCCGCTTTCAAGCTCACAGATTGGTTTAAAAACCATTACATATATATATATATATATATATATATTTATATGTCACTCTGTTTCGTTTCAATGCTGATGTGTTTGGGGTTAGTTGAATATTAAAAGTTGTTACCTTAACATAAAGGAAACCCCCATGCGATTCTGACATTCGTTTACCCAGATTTTTGGAGAGGACGTTACCAGAGGGCAAAGCAAGTTAAAGCGTCTCGAAGCATGATGTTGTCTTTGTTCCGGAACTTTTCTGCTTCAACGTGTTGCTTCTTTTAAGGTTATTTTCTCTGGGACTTTGGCATACGCGCTGTTTCTGAGGTTGGTCCTTTTGAGCGAAGGAACATTCGGTTCGGGATGTTCATGGTTTCTGGGTTCAACAGAGCTGGCTTCTTGTTTGGGTGGGAAAATGTTTAGATTTTCATGAATTTTGAATCTTTAATCAGTTGAGTTTTTGAATCTTCCCCCCATCTTTTTCCGTGTCTGTGCTCCGGATCTAAGAAAGTTCATGTTCTTTTAAATTTATGAACTCAACCGAGCTTCCTTTCAACTTATCAAATATGGAAATTGGCCCAAAATGATCTTTCTAAGGTCTTTGGCAGTTTTGTTCACTCAGTTTATAAACTAAATTCTTGTGAGATTTAGGACTTCGGTTATTTGCATGGTAAGCTTGAAATATGTTTTAAATATGTTGTTGCAATAAATATTTTCTTGTAGATAAGTGATCATCACAATTTGCTGTGCGTGCAAGCTGCAATATTATGACATGTTTTTCCATCAGTGATCATCATAATTTACTTTGCTTGGAAACAGTTCACTGATTACGAAGCATTCGTTAGAAGCTTTTTAGATATCAAGTAGCATCCGAAATCCATAAGATCATACATTTCTGCTCTCTTAGCTTTGCAGCGTCTATGACAACTTTCAATTTGGTGTTCCAAGATGCAAAGGCATGTCTGATGAAATTGTACCAAACAGCTCCTAACAATGACGTTTGTTGTGCAATCTGACCGAGAATTTACTGTCTCCTGTCAGAAAGAGTGATGATGGACGGAGTCCGAGGTGAACGAGATGAATTCAAGAAGTCTCCATCGCTGCATTCCTCACCTTCAGCTGTTGCTGTAGCCATCAGGGGTAACAAGAAAAGCAAGCATGTGGTACAATGGGCACTGGATAAATTTGTTCCCGAGGGAAGAATTATGTTTAAGCTGATACATGTCCATTCTGGTAAAAATGTTGTTCCAACACAACAATATATGCTTTTCTGTTCATTATGTTTAAGGGAGAGAAGCATCTTTATGCAGTAGAAAAGTCTCAAATGGTTTCTTATATGCTTCTACAATCATATTGGCACTTCTGCCCAGAAAAAATTGCTATAAGTCGTACTTTTTACCTTGAAGACTTTGGTTAAATAATCTGACATGTGTCAATGTTTGACCAGCCTTCCAAAAGAGCACTAAGAGATATATTAGATGAATGATCATAAATGAATGTTGCTTAATATTTATGATTTTTTTAAATTGATTGAGGGTGACTTTGTCCAGGAGAAAACCAACTTTTACATCGTAAGAGAAGCTTCAACATACTCACTCTCTCTTACTGTACAAATCTATATTTTTCTGTCATTTAGAAATATATAATGTATTGGTGAAACAGGGAAATAAAACAAACGTAGGAGCCGCTTCCCCCAACCCCCTTGAAAATGCTGTTCTTTTCACTTCCACAGCCAGTAAAGGAGGCTTGTAAAGTATTTGCTGTGTCTCATTAAATTTTCCCACTATTTTGATGACATGAAAAGGAGAGAGTGATTAATGTGGATTACTTCATAAGGACAAAGTTTTGCATTTTCAATGTAGCGAGTAACTTCATGATTGATAGTTAGAATTTGTCTAACATTTTACAATATTTGCATAGTGGTTATATACATTAGAGTCTAATATCTTAAAAAATAACCTCATTTTATTTTCATGCCAATTCAAAATCTTCGTCCTTTCTGTGGTAAATACCATTCCTATATGACAATTGGGTAATGATGAAGCAGCTGCTTTTAAGAAGGAAATGGAGTGGCAGACAAGTGTAATGCTCCTACCTTACAAGAAAATGTGTGAGCAGAGAAAGGTCATATATCATTTCTCATTAAAACTTAGTTGGAATTACTTCAGCAAAGTAAGATTTATATGCTTCTTCGGTTGCTGCAGGTTCATGTTGATGTTGTAGTGATTCAATCTGATGATATAGAAACTGCAATAGCAGAGGAAGTTGCTAGAGGTTCTATAACCGACCTGGTTATAGGGGCTTCATCTCATGCCATATTTACTAGGTATTTACTTTGCACTTGCAGATTAGTCTCCAATGCAATAGTGTTTCTGGTTTAAAAGGTATCTGCCTCTATATAACTTCTGATAGGAAGGCGATAACAAATTATTTATACTGTTGCCATGAAAACTGTACATTGCATATGGAACAGAATCTAAATGTAATTCACATCTTGAAGTTAGTTATTTCTTGTCTGTTATCCTGATCCTGTTAAAAGGTTGCAAGTATAGCATACCCTTTCATAAATGTTCATCAGCACTGTCAAGTTGATTGGGAAAAATCTGTTTATTGTAGCATTTTAAACATGATATGTTATGTAATTGTAATATGGAATGGTAGGTATTGGAATTAGTTTCCTAAGCCTATGTATACATGTAGAATTTATTAAACTGGGTTAGCCTGTGTTTTGAGTACCACACAGAAGCATTCGGTCCACCCATCTCTGTCTCTCTGTTCTCTGTTCTTTTCCCCTCTTTCTGCCCTCTGTTTCTCTCTTTCTCTTGGACTCTCTCACTTCTTTCCATTCTTCCAATCTCTCTTGGGACACAGTGGTTTCCTTGTTTAGGATGAACTTTATTGATCTCCATCTGATTATGATAGTTTTCTTGATGTTTTTCTTTTCAGTAAACTGAAGGGTTTGTCTGCAAAAATCTCGTCATGCGCTCCAAGATTTTGCACAGTTTATGCTGTTTCCAAAGGTAGACTGTTTTCTTCACGGCCATCAGACATAGAGATTGATGGAAGCTTAATAGATGACAGCAGTGAAACCAGTTGTTCAACCAATAGCTCATTGAACTCTGCATCCACCTCTCAGATAGGTATTCTAGTTAGTACATTTAAGATGCCAGGGCTTACTAAAGAATGAGTATATTATGAGCGTACAATATTACTGGGAGAATGATGTGCCTTAGCATTATTATTAGTTCATTCTCATATACAAATTCATTGATATTTTCTTTTTCTAATATCTTGTTGAAAATCCTGATGGTCATGCTAAAATTTTTGTCACACAATTTTTCCCATATTGCAGCATTGTTAGTACATTGTGGATTTTTATGAGCCTTCTCATACTTCAGTCAATGTATTTCACGTGTTATACAATTCTGAGACTAAAATAATAGATCATTTGCATCTTATGACCCTACTTAATGAAGAGTTTGGCAGCACTTGCTGCTTCAACATGGATTCTAATGGAGTCTATCCTTAGAATAGTATTTTAAGGATCTGTGATTTCTAATATGCAGACTATGGCTCAGTCAGATCATATGCTCCGACACATTCCTCTTCCCTAGCGGCACAGAGATATCAAGCTCTTTCAACCATTAATCTGACCCGTCAGAGCGCAAAATCTGGTTCAATTGAAAATAACCACTCTAGAAGCCATTCTCTAGACCTTGGCATAGAGCAAACTGCTATATATTCTTCTTCCAAAAACTCAGATATTGACAATGCTTTGAGCCGGGCCTCTAGCTGCAAAAGCAATCTGTCAGATGGTGAATCTTGGAATTATTATCAAAATCCCACCATGGATGCACCACTGGCAACGGTGTCGCCTGATAAGCAGGTACCTTTTTTCTTTCTTTTAACAAATGGTACTTGTATACTGCTGCCGTTTTACTTCAAGCAACAGTGGCTCTCTGAGATAATTCATATTTTTAATGGCAGCATTGTAATTATAAAGTACACTATACTGGAGCATGCAAATTCTGGGAAAATATATGTGTCTGTGTGTGTACGCGCACGCGCGTGCATGCATTGTTAAACTATTGTTTTAACAACTGCCATTTGTGTGAAGCTTGAATTTGGAAATAATCATGCCTCCCTTTTTTGTCATTTATATGAGCAGGAAAATTTTTACCTTGAGCTGGAAAAGTTGAGAATTGAACTAAGGAATGCCCAAGGAATGCACGTGGTGGCTCAAAGTCAGAATATTTATGCATCACAAATGGTATTATCCAATTGCTTGCATCTTTCTGTAATTGGGGAATGCTAATCAGAAATTACACGTCCTTTAGGTCGTCTCCTCTCATAATCTTGCACAACTGGCATCGTAATTTGTCTTAAAAAATGAGGACTTTTTTGTCCAACTACAAATGTAGAAAACTAGTCAAATCTATGACATGGATAAAGTGAGAGATGTGATATTATATGAAAATTGACTAGTGGAGTAAGTAATCATTGTGTGGTCACAAACTAATAGTGCAAAGTCAAAGAATATATCATGCTTTTATTTGTGACCAACTTGACGTATCAATTTTTGGCCATTTTACTGTTCTCACCTTAAATACTTTGCTGACTTTAGGTGAGAGAAGTTTGAAACCACTTACAGAGAAAAAGATATTGTCATGATTAAGAGAAAACTGTTGAGGCAGGATTAACATATTTGTTATGCATATGACAGTTCATGCATTAATCTTAAATGTCTCAACGCTCACTAAAAATCACCTACCTTACTTGATACACCCGATGCTTGCGTTCATGCGTAGCTTAGCAAAATTAAGTCTATAGCAATTGGAGTAGAAACAAATATTCCCATAATTGGCATGGAATGCATTTTCTAGAGTTAAATTGTCAGTTTGAGTAAATATTGAAAATTTTTAAGCAGCTGAACAATCTCAGTAAGAAGAGAACAGGGGAATCTATGAAATTGAAGGGAATTATTGCTAAGGAGAACATGGCCAAAAAATTAATAATAAAGGAGAGAGAGAAATGTGAGGCAGCAGAAAGAGAAGCTGCTTATTTGAAAAGAAGTGCTGAAGAGGAAGCCATTGAAAGAATAGAAGCAGAGAAAAAAGCTGTCGAAGCTGCCAAAAGGAATGAAAATCTAGAGGATGCTCTCAGTGGTTCCACGCCTCATTATAAGAAGATTGCATGGGATGAAATAGTTTCAGCCACCTCATCATTTTCTGAAGAGCTTAGAATTGGAAAGGGAGCTTGTGGAACAGTGTACAGGTGCCATCTGTATCATACTTCTGTGGCGGTAAAAATTCTCCACTCTAATGAGGACCACATTATCAAGCAACTCCAGCAAGAGGTATGGAATCTTTATGGACACATAGGATATGCAAACCTAGTCTATGCTACCATTTATATGAAAAACTATTCATTGGCCTTTAACTGACACCTTTTGTTTTTCTGTTTTGGTTAGGTCAGAGGTTTTTTATTCGCCAAAATAGTATTCTTAAGATGAACTTTCATTGATTACCCTTTTTCCTTTTTTGTTCTTCTTATCTACAAGATGCAAATTACTCCACCATCCCAGCTAATAATTATGAGACTAATAAGCCACATGATGTTCTTTATTCTTCTGTTTGCTTCAGCTAGAAATACTGAGCAGAATTCGTCATCCAAATTTACTTCTCCTTCTTGGGGCATGCCCTGATCATGGATGCCTTGTGTATGAATACATGGAGAATGGTAGCTTAGAGGACAATTTACTCGGAAATAGATGTAATATCTCGATTCCATGGTTCAAGAGGTACAAAATTGCATGGGAAATAGCCTCTGTTCTTGCCTTTCTTCATAGCTCGAAGCCCAAACCTATCATCCATCGTGATCTGAAACCTGCGAACATCTTGCTAGATGAAAATCTTGTGAGCAAGATTGGCGATATTGGCCTTTCTACATTACTCCATTCAGATACTTTGTCTACAACATTCAAGGACACAGACCCTGTTGGGACGCTCTCCTACATAGATCCTGAGTACCAAAGGACAGGGTCAATATCTCCCAAATCTGATGTTTATGCTTTTGGAATGGTGATCCTCCAATTGTTAACTGCAAAACCAGCTAGAGCACTGGCTCATTTAGTAGAAACAGCAATTGACAAGGGAAACTTAGCAGAAGTGTTGGATCCCAAAGCAGGGAGTTGGCCACTTCAGGAGACTTTGGACTTAGCTCGATTAGGCCTAAGCTGCGCAGAACTTCGGCGTAGAGACAGGCCTGATTTGAAAGATCATGTACTCCCCATGCTGGAGAGATTAAAAGAAGTCGCTGATAAGGCTCAGCATTCTGCCACAATTATTACTGTTAAATCGAGACCTCCTAATCACTTTATCTGCCCAATACTTCAGGTACTGAAATATTTCACTTTGCTCATATGGGTCAGCTGTTTCTTTGCTAAGATAGCATATTCTTCATAAAAGATGTTTTATATCCTGAAAACGACTTTAACAAGATGAAGACTAATTTTTATTCAACCCAAGTCTGGTCCTTCCTTTTCCTTTGCTTTTTCTATATCATATTGAAATGGCATGCCATATTGTGATTGGTGCAGGACGTGATGGATAATCCTTGTGTTGCTGCTGATGGTTATACTTATGATTACAAAGCAATTGTAACATGGCTGCAAAGAAATGACAAATCACCAATGACAAATATGCCATTGCCTCATAAGAATCTGATTCCGAATTACACGCTTCTATCTGCTATTATGGAGTGGAAATCCAAAGAAAACTGATACAAACGAACTTAATTGTCAGTTTCAATGTTGTTATGTTGGATAGTAGTGTCTATATATGTGAATAGATTATTTGTTACAGAACATGTTTAGATTAATAGTTCAATGGCATTTTCAATGTTTTTCAGTTATTTTGCTTTCTAAATATCACTTTCTATCATTCTTCTTAATCAGGACTGCAGTTTTTGAAATGTATGAAAAATGATGTTGATTTTTCCATTATTTGTATCTTTTGGTGGGGAAAAAAAATTGGTGTTTAGGCTAATTGGTAGTGTCTTAAGTACTGATTTTAATGCATGAAATAGGCATTCAAATTTGGTTCTTAATTTTAGAGGAGAATTCTATGAAATGGAAGTAGAAGGAAACACATGATAACCAATCTATTTCTTTTTTATTTTTTTTTTCATTTTTTGGGGTATCATTGACTCTAATTTTACACTCTTTCCCCTTCCATTAGCGAAAACTAAAACCATGTTAAGAAGTTTATCTTGTCTAATAATCTAAAGCTATTTTCTTTTGAGTTGCCACTGGTTAGTGAGTGGCAAAGTTGGAAGATGATTTTTGACAAACATATCCCTATCAAGAAAACATGAAACTTTAACCTGCCACAACATGAAGAGAAATTAACATCAAAACTACTATTTGTTGACATTTGAATCGGAAAAATATGTGCCAAAATTTGTGGTTGACATATAAATCATTGTAGTTACAATTGATTACACTTATAGAGAAGTGAGTAATTTGTGCGAATTGATTGGCTTATCAAGTTAATTATAACAATTTGAATACCATAGTCTATAATATTCCACTTCCACCTTCTAGGTGTTAAGATTTAGAGTAAAATACTCTAGTGTTTCTTGTATTTTGTTCTAATTACACAGACCTCTTATTTATTTTGAAAATATGCTCTTAAGTTCAAACTGTTAACTCCGTTAAAAATATTATAAAAATATGCTTCTTTTAATTAAAATTGGTGTTGAACTATTTTTTATTTATTGATTTATCCTTCATAATACTATATCCTTAAATTTTGCCTAAAACTATTTTGAAAAATTTTAAAAATTTTTATTTACCTTAATTTTATTTTTATTTTTATAATAGTTATTTGCTTAATGTTTTTATCATATTGGGACAGAAAATTAAGTAATTTAGTTAATATAACCATAAAAAATTGAATAAAAATTTGATTAGTTCTTTAAATAAATATATAATTAATCAAATAACTTATAAATGTTTGCAACAAAATTTTGGTTTAAAAATTTTAAATTTTAAATTTAAATAATTTATATAACGTCCCAAACTCACATAATTTAGATTATATGATGAACAAATAAGTGTTTAAAATATTTTCTAGTCATTTTTAAAAAAACTAAATAAATAAATTTCAGTATGTCATGAAGAATTAAATTATATGATTCTATAATATAATCAAAATTTATAAATTTTATAACACATGAAGAACTTTGAAACTACATGTATTATAATTATTTTTTTGTTTTATCAAAAATTATTTTTTGACGTATATAAATATTTAAATAATGTTTATGTTAAAAAGAGACATTTTGGTCAAAATAAAAGTTTGAAAGTCAAACTTAATTAACAGTTAGAAGATTTGTGTGACATACATTTTAATTTTAAGAACATTTTATATATATTTTCAAAAAAGAGAAAAAATTTCTGTAATTTAGGTGAAACAAAGAGGTAGTAAATGTATTATACTCTAAGATTTATCATTAACTGATCTTTCAAAAAAAAATGTAAACTATTTTTTTAAAGAATTTTCATTGAATCTGACTATTAAAGTCATAATACTTCTTTAAAGAAGGAAAAAAAATTATTTTCAATCAATCTTTGCCTCAAAATTTTCAGCTTTTCCATGTCTTTTCCTATTTAGCATCAGAATATAATTAAGATCTATCAAAACGAATACATGTAACGTAAGCATGTTACCGGAGCCAAAGTTCATTCTAAAAAATATATAGAAACGTCAAATTTAAAATATAAAACAAAGCTTTACCAAAAAAAAAAAATAAAACAAAGCTTTAAAAATTCTATTCATTCATCTAAATAAGTTCCTCTAAAGTATATGTATCGGTATCTCTTTTCACTTTAAGAAATTCGGAGGTTTTCAGGTAAATAAATGATTCAGCAGAATAGTTAAAAGCAAGAGCATAGAAACAGAGAAGAAGAAATTTAAGTACTCCTCCGGTCCTTAACGTAAGACCCATTTAACTAATTTGATTAGACTACAGAAGTTAGGTAAGTTAGTTAATTATAAGAAATGTGACACGTTTTTCCTAAAATACCATAATCATCTTTTTTTAATATCCCATCTTCCTCTTCTATTTGATTATGGTTGAGGGAGTATCTATAGGAGTAATTTAGAGAAAATTAATAAATATGAGAAATGGGTCTTATATTTAGAATCAAAACCAACTCAAAAATTAGGTCCTATATTAAGGACTGGAGGAGTATGTATTATGATGCTTTCATTCCTTCTCACTTGGACAAAGAGGCTTAATTATATTGAGCTTGGCTGATAAAAAAAATCATGATATATAACTGGCATTTTATGATGATCAGCAAAACAATTAAAAAGGACAATATATATCAAGAAATTATACATAATTACAAAACAGTAAAATTTTCTATAAATGATATGAATGACCAAATAGAGAACGTGGCACATTTATTTGAGCAAATGAAGTTCTGGTTTTTCCCCCAGAGTTTTATTTCTACACTTGTGTTTGACAAACATAATTTTGCAAACAGAAAGAAACAGTTTCAACTCAGAAATTGTGGCGACACTCTCCAAATGTTCAAGCCTAAGAACAATTCCATGATGGGATCATCAACAGCTTCTTTCCTTTTTCAGCTCTGCTTACTCAAGTCTCTTTGTAAAGTGCGCAGCGATCATCTATCAGTATAAATAAGTATGTAATACCTAACAGTATTTGTAAAATATTTGACACTGTGAGTGACAGAGTGATCTCATTTGTTATTGCCCCTAACAAGAAAGAATATCAGAATAAATTTTAAGAAATCAAATATATAAATCTTACTGTTAAATAAGTCCTTAGTGTTATAATGGGAATCTTGTTGTCAGGCAGTCATGCAAAGAGAAACTTTGAAGCAATGATAAGAAGAGAGTGAATATAAAATAATCTAGGTACGATTCGCAATGTCTACTTTTCCTGCTGATTGCATTAAACAGAAAGGAATATGTGTATAGGAATAGATACGCAGCAAAAGATACCTGAGGATTGGCTGCTAAATATGAATGTAATTAAGGGATGTGAGTAATCTCTTCCCAGTCTTCCCCTTCTGGTTTCTGGCATCCTTGTTTAAGCGTTGGACAAGATCGCAGTATTCGAAGGTAAGAAAGGGAACTGGGGAGGCTCCCCTTGGGTAAGCTTTGGAGTCTCGAACAATACATTATAATCAAATATTTGAGGGAGGGCGATTGACAAAGAGCCTTGTAGTCCAACATTCTGAGATTGGAACAGTTTCTGATGTCAAGAGAAGAAAGAGAACTTGGGAGTAGTCCTGGTTCAGGTAGAGACTCCACCACATCATCACCTTCGATGGTCAAGTCGTGCAAACCATTGCATTCGACATGCAAATAGTTTCGGGCATCTGTTGAAACGAACATGCGTCAGTTTTGATGGCAGACCCCCCTCTGTCAGTTTTGAATGAAGCAAAAATTTAGCCCAGGGGCAGAATACCCCTCTTGCGGAAAGGATACGAATTTTGGACACTTAAGAATGCTCAAAGCTGTAAGATTCCCATGGTTACGCCCCTCTGAAATAGAAATCATTTCAAGATTATTACAACCATGTAGAGACAAATTCTGAAGTGCTGGGAATTGATCCAATGCGAAGGTCCCAAGAGACCCACAACTTCTAACTATCCGTATTTGACGAAGTGAGTCGTGATGTTGCTTCAATGGGAACTCGAAATCCGGACAGTCAAAATCGCAACCTCTTCAATACAGGAGTTACTAATGGTTTGCTCAATCTTTTCAAGCAAACTCACATTCGTGCATGGTCCACAAAAGCGAAGTTCTTTTAGAGTGGATAGGATATATTCCAACCGCACATTTCCACATTTTTCAAGAGTCAACCGTTGAATTGTTGGGGCTCGTGGAACCAAAGCTACAAGTTGTGGGCAGTCTTCAATAACAAGATCATCTAAAGAAAGAAGTTGTTCGGGCAAATTCTCTTTCAGCTTTGGACAATCTATTATACGAAGCTCTTTAAGGCATGGGAAGGCCCTCGAAGCAGTCGGACAATCCCAATCCTCCCAATTCACCATTCCGATGAGCGTCAAGGTTTCAAGAGATCTAAATGGAACGATAGAAGAATCACTTCCAAGAAATTCAGCACCAATAGCCACAATGCCATCCAACTTTTTAATGAATAGTGACCTGAGAGACGCCAAAATGCCAAACGATGGCAACTCGAAACAATACTTGCAACTTTTTAATCGGAGCTCCGCTATGTTGGATAATGTGTTATCACCAAACCAATCTGGAAACCTTGTGCCACCATAGTACCCGACTGATAGTTTCTTCAAGTTTTGGTGAGGTTGGAGCTTCTCTAGCACATCCTTTTTATTTTGAGAATCATCATTGGTGTCTTCATTCCATCTGAAGCGTAACTCCTCAAGGTACTTCTTTTCTTTCAAGTTGGCTTGTAAGGCATCCATTCCATGAACTACATTCTGCAACTCATAAATTAAAAGTGCTCCTTGAAGATTGAGTTCGCCTAATTGTTTGATGTTGAGCTCATTACACTTGCCCACTTTAAATGATACCAACCGAACTAGAAGATTTTTCATTGTTCCCATATTTGATGGAATCTTTTTCAAGAAAGTGAATCGTAAATCTAGAAGACGCAAATTTTTTAATTTATGAAAATCAGCAGGCAACTCAACCAAGAGCATGCACTCAAGCAACTTCAAGGTTTGTAGGTTATACAGAAGACATACTGACTTAGGAAGTCTCTTAATTTTGCAATAAGATAGATCAAGATACTGCAGATGTATGAGATTTCCTCAGGTATCTCCCTAATTGTGTCATTGGAAGTCAAAGATAAAACTCGCAAACATTTGCACTTACACAACTGATCAAATATTAGGTCCCTCGAAGTCCACTTGAAACCCCACTTATTCAAAAGAGGCAAGAATGTTTGTAATTTTTTTATTTTTTGCAAATTCTCAACCATCTATATTCTCTGTATTCATGACACAAAAAAGATAAGTGACGGGTTTTTTCTAAATTATATGCCACCTCTTTAACCTCTTGCTTGAAACAAAGCTCACCAGATACAAAATTTGCCAAATCATTGAGAATGTCATGCATGACAAAATATGCTTCATTTCCAGAAGACTTCTGAAAAAAGGATCTTGACACAAGCTCTTGGAAGTATTCGTTGCCTACTTCTTCAATTGACTTATTTGATTGAGAGGCTTGTAAGAAATTATGAGCCATCCACAATAGAATTAACTCCTTCTTGCCAAATTCATAATCCTTTGGGAATAATGAACAATAAGCAAAGCATCGCTTTAGATGAGAAGGGAGATAATGATAGCTCAATATCAAAGCAGGAAGAATATTATTATAAGAAATGTTCCATATCTCACTTCTCAAAATGTTGTTCCATTCTTCCCAAGATGATTTCCTGTACAAGAGACTCCCAATTGTTTTCAAGGCCAAAGGCAAACCTTTGCACTTTTTAACAATCTTTCTTCCAATTTCTTCATGATTAAAATTCGTTGGTGGACAATAGTTGCGAAATGCATACTTTGTAAATAACAACCAACCATCTTCATCTGACAAGTGATTTGGGTGATATATTTCATCAGAGGGGAAGGCTAAGGCAACTTTCTCATTGCGTGAAGTAACAAGAATTCTGCTTCCCACAATCCCACCTATGAAAGGTGCTAAAAAAGCTTCCCATAATACGTAATCATCACACCAAACATCATCAAGAACAATAAGAATTTTTTTTTTAGACGACCAATCCTTCAACTTATTTTGAAGTGCATCTAAATCTTCTGTCCCATCGTTAGATGCCATGATTTTCTTGAAAATTATTTTTGTTAACTTCAAAACATCAAAGTCATCAGAAACACAAACCCAAAGTCTGAGGTCAAATTCACTCTTAACCCTTTTATCATTATAAACAAGCTGAGCAAGGGTAGTCTTGCCCAATCCACCCATACCGACTATAGAGATCACAGAAAAGTGACCGTCATTTTGCAACTGCTTAATGATGATATCTTTGTCTTTATCCCTTCCACATATTCCAACTTCATCCACCAAAGAAGTTGTCGGCAGCTTTGTGACAGACCCAACAGCACCATCTTTACCTTTGTTTAATCCCAAACCAATCCTTCTGCTCTCAAGAAATTCAAGGCTTTCAAGGACTTGTTTCATCCTTGATTCAATTTCCTGGTCAAATGAAGTAGCAGAAGCATTGAAGAATTTGCGTACCTTGCTAGTAACACTAGTTTGAGGTTCAGCTTCGGCTTCCAACTTGCGTTTGTAGAGTTCATAGCTAATCTCATCCAAGACATCCTCAGCATCGTACACAGCGTCTTTGAGCTCCAAAAGCCAGGCCCTCACATTTGGATCACTAAACTGCTTATACTCAGCATCATCAATTACACTGTTCACAGATATTAGCATGATCTTCAATTTCTTCACCAGTGTCTCATTCAATCCTCTCTTTTGGAAGTAGCGAAGAGTTTCTCCAGTAGCCAACCGGTCAAAAGCCACCTGAAGGAAGGCAGACATAAAGGCAATGCCAACATCTGCACCAGACATGGTAGGAAGAAGAAAATGATCAAGAAGAGCAAGGGATCGATGAGAGCAAACAGAGAAGCCAGTCTAATGCCAATACAAGGGAAAGTGGCCAAATAACACACAGCAATGTTTTGAGATGCAGACAACTGAAAGTGGCTGTCATCCGTTGAATTAAGGGTGAATGAGTTATTGGAAGTCAGCAATGCCTTAGTGTAACGCGGTTTGTGGGGTCAGTGCCATGTGTTTGATGCCGATTTGCCAAAATGTGATAATCCAAATTATAGCAAAATAAAATCAACACGGGAAAGAAATAAGGAGAGAAAAGGGCAAGAAAATTCAAGATTTCTTCTATCAAGAAGTTGCCAGGGAGAAAATGCCGCTTTTAAGAGAAAATATTAATATTTAATAGTAGACTAATAGAAAACAAAGTTATGGTCGACTAAATATGCTTGAACACATTTTTAGTAATATAAATTTTCCCTTTTTACCCAAAAAAAAAAAGACGAAGATAATAAATTTTTATGAAGAAAAAAACTTCTTCACCAGAGTCTCATTCAATCCAATCTTTTGAAAGTAGTGAAGAGTTTCACCAGAAGCCAACCGGTCGAAAGCCATTTGAAGGAAGAAAGACAAAACAGCACCACCAACAAATTCCGCAGCCATGGCATAAATTACAAGGAAAAGGAAGAAGAAGAAGAAGAGTAGGGATTGATAGTAACAAACAGAGAAGTGCGCCAAAACCAGTGAGAAGATTCATTCAACATTATATTCCACATCATGAAGAGAAGAAGCCACCGCGAAGTTGCAGGGAAAAAAAAAAAATATATATATATATATATATATTATAAACGTAGTGTAAATTGGGTGTAAATTGCCCAAAAATTTTAAAATCGTAGCAATACTGTTTCCTATTATTAAAAATATTGACTATCAGGTGGCAATACCAGAGAAACTGCGAAATTTGCGACGGCGGAACTGAAGATCTGGATCACATCCTCAGACTTCGCAATGTGGCCTACTCCTGTTGGCTTAGGCTGACCGTTTGTTTCATAATTTTCTTTGTTTCTTGCAACCCTCCCCCACTTGTACTTATCTTTTGAGTAGTGAATTTCCTTTCCAACTCCCAAAAAAAAAAAAATCAAAATTATTATTTTAACAGTCCATCATGGAGTCACAGGATATTATTGTTATGATTTTAAACTTTCAGAATATATTTGTACTGAAAAAAATTTCTAGGTGCCCAGTAAAAAACTTCCTAAGTAAATTTCCACTATAACCCATTTAATAATTCTGTTTTGTTGAATTATTTTAGTTTATATATTACTTTTACGAGAACTATATCTTCAGTCCTTTAATTTGTATAATGTTTTGTTTTGGTCCTTTAATTTTACAAAGTATTTTTTATGGTCTTTTAAATGATTCAAGAAAAAATAAAAACAAATATAAAAATTATCATAAGTTTTATTATATAGAAGTCATGAATAATATACACATGTATACACACGTATCTTCTCCTCGGCTTTTTTTTTTTTTTTTGCTAAAGCATAGGTATTTTTCTATTAGAGTAATCCCATTCGAGGCACTGTCGAACACTAAATGTGGACACCTCTCTCAGCAAGGATTTGAACATTGGTTCACGACGTTATGGGAGACTAGCCCCTTCCGCTAGACTTAACTCTCGTCGGTTCTCCTCGGCTTATTTGTCTTAACATGCTTGAACACTTTTTTAGTGGTATGAATTGGATTTCCCTTTTTACAGGCGGGAAAAAAAAACAAAACAAGAAAATAATGGAAAAAAAAAAACAAAGGTGAGAGTTAGGACGTATACAGTGTTATTAAAAATAAGGCACATGATAATTTAAAAAAAAGGTTGAAATTGCCTCTATATTCATATTATTTTAATTAAGTAATTAATAAAGGGAAAAAGACAAAAAAATGTTACTTAAACTTCATAATCCCCAAATGGAATGTTAAATTTGAAAAATCCCACCAAATTGGGATTATTATGTGAAAAGAAAAGACCAAATTGCCCTTCATTTTAAATATTATTTTTAAAATATCACAGTCCCTACTAGCCGGCCGGTCACCGGAGCTCCGGTGACCAGCCGACAATTGGTCACCGAAGCTCCGTCAATCAGAAAATTTTTTTTGAAAATTTTTACAACTTCAATATAATGGTTAACAACTTTTGTAATACTATTAACAACTTCAATATAGCAATTAACAACAGGTTTTTTGGGAAATTCAACAAACTCCGGCGATCGGAAACAATTTTTTTGAAAATTTTTACAATTTCAATATAACCATTAACAACTTTTATAATACTATTAACAACTTCAGTATAGCAATTAACAACAGGTTTTCTGGGAAATTCAACAAACTTCGGTGACCGGAAACAATTTTTTTGAAGCTTTTTACAACTTCAATATAACCGTTAACAACTTTTGTAACACTATTAACAACTTCAGTATAGCAATTAACAACAGGTTTTCTGGGAAATTCAACAAACTCCGGTGATCGGAAACAATATTTTTGAAAATTTTTACAACTTCAATATAACAGTTAACAACTTTTATAACGCTATTAACAACTTTAGTATATCAGTTAACAACAGATTTTTTGAAAAATTCAACAATTGGTCGCCGGAACTCCGATGGAGGAAAACAATTTTTTTTGAAAATTTTTACAACTTCAGTATAACGGTTAACAACTTTTGTAACCCTATTAACAATTTCAGTATAGCGGTTAACAACAGGTTTTTGAGTTTGTTAAAGGCATTACTGAAGTTATAAAAATGCCAACTTTTGAACTTTTCAAAAAACTTGTTGTTAACTGTTATATCGAAGTTGTTAATCGTTATACTGGAGTTGTAAAATTTTTCCAAAAAACGTAATTGTTAATGTTATACTGAAGTTGAAAATTTTTACAAGTTCAGTATAACAGTTAATAACTTTTATAATGTATTAACAACTTCAATATAACAATTAACAACAGATTTTTTAGGAAATTCAACAAGCTCCGGCGACCGGAAATAATTTTTTTTGAAAATTTTTACAACTTCAGTATAACGGTTAACAACTTTTGTAACTCTATTAACAACTTCAGTATAGCAGTTAACAACAGTTTTTTCAAAAAAATTCAAAAAGTGGCATTTTTATAACTTCAATAATGCCTTTAAGAAACTCAAAAACCTGCTGTTAACCGCTATACTAAAGTTGTTAATAAGGTTACAAAAGTTGTTAACCGTTATACTGAAGTTGTAAAAATTTTCAAAAAAAATTGTTTTCCTCTGCAAGAGCTCTGGCGACCAATTGTTGAGTTTTTCAAAAAATCTGTTGTTAACTAATATGATAAAGTTGTTAATAGCATTACAAAAGTTGTTAACGGTTATATTGAAGTTGTAAAAATTTTCAAAAAATTGTTTCCGGTCACCGGAGTTTGTTGAATTTCCCAGAAAACCTGTTGTTAATTGCTATACTGAAGTTGTTAATAGAATTATAAAAGTTGTTAACCGTTATACTGAAGTTGTAAAAATTTTCAAAAAAAATTGTTTTCCTCCACCGGACCTCCGGCAACCAATTGTTGAATTTTTTGAAAAATCTGTTGTTAACTGATATACTAAAGTTATTAATAGCGTTACAAAAGTTGTTAACGGTTATATTGAGGTTGTAAGAATTTTCAACAAAATTGTTTCCAGTCGCCGGAGTTTGTTGAATTTTCTAAAAAACCTGTTGTTAATTGCTATACTGAAGTTATTAATAGCGTTACAAAAGTTGTTAACGGTTATATTGAAGTTGTAAAAATTTTCAAAAAAATTGTTTCCGGTCGCCGGAGTTTGTTGAATTTCCCAAAAAACCTGTTGTTAATTGCTATATTAAAGTTGTTAATAGCATTACAAAAGTTATGAACGATTATATTGAAGTTGTAAAATTTTCAAAAAAATTGTTTCCGGTTGCCGGAGTTTGTTGCATTTCTCAGAAAGCCTGTTGTTAATTGTTATACTGAAATTGTTAATAGCATAGCAAAAGTTGTTAACTGTTATATTGAAGTTGTAAAAATTTTCAAAAAAAAAAAATTCCGACCAACGGAGCTCCGGTGACCAATTGTCGGCTGGTTGCCGGAGCTCTGGTGACTGCCGCTGCCGGAGCTCCGGTGATCGGCCGGCTAGTAAGGGCTGTGATATTTTAAAAATAATATTTAAAATGAAGGGCAATTTGATCTTTTCTTTTCACGTAATAACCCCAAATTGGGATTTTTCAAATTTAACATACCATTTGGGGATTATAAAGTTCTTCGTCCTTTTTCTTTTCTCTTTGAATCTCTAGGAAGCACTAATTTTCTTTATCCATTTTCTTTTCTGTTTACCGAACAACCCATCGTAATTATTGTGTTTCGAAATTTCAAATGAACTTTATTGACCTTGCAAATTACTTTTAGACACTGACACACCTAAATTTAAAGAATTTATAATAAAAAAACTTAAAATTGCAATTATCTTCAACCATTAGTTCTGCTCGGTAGTTTTGAAAATGTTGTCTTTTCTTGGTTTTTTTTTTTTGGTTGTATAAGTCAGAGTATAAAGACTACTGTTTATTATTTTAACCAAGGGCTTGTTAGTGTCTATTTTCATAGCTTTATCTTGTTGTATATACGGCTTAATAAAAAAAAAGTTAGTCTAAATAATGGATTTTTTTTTTGGAGGCAACTAATTTCTAAACTTATGCACAGATAAACTTAAAAAACCTAATATTAAATTAATCAACACAATACTATTATATTATTGATATCATCAATAATATTAATTAAAATAATAAAGTTGTTTTAAGAGTAAGCTGCGGATTAATTATATTTGGGACCAACACATGCTTTAGACACTAGAACACGACTAACAAATTTTTGAATTTAAATTTTATATTACAGTAATAACAACAAATTTACCAACTTAGATTGGCATAAATAATGGGGGATTTCATTATTTAAGCAAATGGTTAAATTTCGAATCCACACCTTACGTATATCTTTTACTCTCAAGATTTTGAAAGGTTCAGTCTCTGCTATTGACAAAATTATATTTCTAACTAATGCTATAATAATAATAATGTTGATTAATGGACATGTGATATGGCCACTTTATTTATTTAAGACTTAATTCTTTATTTATATAAGGTATTAATTTTTGAAAAAAATTTCAAAAAAATTCTAAATTTTAAAATTCCAAATCAAGAATAACTAAAAAAATGTGTTATCATTTTCTTTTTAAATTTTGTTAATTGTTATTAAAATATAATAAACAAAACTGATTTAAAATTTTAAAATTCAAAAGTATTTTTTTTTTGGAGATTTTTCCTTAATTTTTTCCCTCCGATTTTGAAGTTTTAAATATCACAACTTAAAATAAAATAAAGAGCTATAGAGAGAAATTTTCTTGTAAGGACATTAAAATACATGCAATGGAAAATTTGTGCCTAGGAAATATAATAAAAAGGGCATTATTGGATGCTCAATTTGCTTTCCTCATGTGTCCCTCTGTCCCACATGTCCACAGCGCTTATCTCACATGTCCCCGGCGCTTATGAAGAAATTATGGTTTGATGGGACCCTCTTCCAATACCACCCAAAATTTTTAAAAAATAATACTCTTCAGTCCTAAATATAAAATTTAT